TGAAGAGGTTATGTTCTGAATCATATGTACGTTTAATACTATCTCTTTGTGCCTCGGTTTGATTGGGTTTGGGTTAGCTGGTTTTAGCTTAACCATTGAAGTGTGCATCTGGTTATGATACACGGGTGAGAGAATAATCTTGTACCGGCCAATTATATAAGGTCAAAAGAGTTTCTAGAAACCAAAAGAGAGAAGATCTGAGATCATCGTTGTAACAGATCGGAGAGTTAGAGAGAGAGGCACAGAGAGATAGAGATTCCGTTCTAGTAAAAAGTTGCCGGCGTTGCCGTGCCCCAGGAGAGTACGTAAGGAACTCCTGGGTTACCAAAAATTCTCTGTGTTGATTCTATCTTGGTTCTACTTTCTTTCTTCTTATTGCAATCGCAGCATCAAATCCGGAAGAGAATCTAGGTCGATTCTTCAACAATTGGTAGCAGAGCCAGGTTCTGGCGATTAATTGGATTTGGTAGTGAAGCAGCTCGGGTGGAGCTGAATCGGCGATGCGGAATCGATAGGCAGAGCTTCATCGGAAAGAATCTCGTCGGTGAAGTAAGGAAGAGCGATTCATAAGGAAATGTGGAAAGGAATCGAAGGATTCTTATTATGCAGTCATCACGACTCGACAAGACGCACGAAGGATTTGAAGTTTTGAGCAACATAGCGTTTCAAGGAAATCAGAATCAGAAGATGTTGCAAGTTCTGGGTTGTCGAGAGCGAAGGAAGAAGATGATCGTGGTTGTTCTTAGCAGAAGACGCCAAAATTGGAGGAAAGAAATTTCACCGAGTTTGATTCAATCGGATCAAATGGTTTCTGGTTTGTGAAATCAGAGAAGCATTAAGTTAATCTCTCTCTCTGCAGGCTCTAAGAGTTATATGTCATCTGAATTCTGGGTTTAGAGATTCACAGGTGATGATGTTAAAATCTAAAGAAGAGCACATTCAAGAGATTGAAGCAAGAGAACACTCAAAGAAGAATCTGCAGTTTATACATTGAATGAGGTTGATGTGAAGTGAAGATCTCAGTGGTTTTGAAGGTTGATTCAGAACAAGAAAGGAGAGTCAGGTTTGTTGGCTCAAGGCTGTAAAATCAGAATGGTCTCATCAATTCTCAAGGATCAAATCTTGGAGACAATGAGTCTCAATCCGCTGCAGTCACAAGGTATCTCTGTGATGGTTTAATGGCTTGTTCTCTGGTTAGTCATGTCCTGCATAAAGTAAGGAATGGAATCTAGCTAGATCACAAGGAATGGATTTTATCTTTGCAAAAGGAATGGTCAAGCCTCAGGTCTGGGTCAGATTGTGTCTTGGTCAGTTTGTTTGTAGAAGATGGATGATGTTGTGGTTCAGAAAGTTTCAGAGAATGGCAATTGGTGGAGCTTATAAATCTCAGGTCTAGAGGACGCTTTAGAGGTGGGATTGGTATGTGTGTCAAAGGCTATTTGAAAATCAGTTTCAAGGTTCCAGGATTCAGGTTAAACGGGAGTTGCAGGAAAGTATGACAGGTTCAGTTTTTCAGAGAAAGTCAGGTTCAGAGATTTGAAGATTCAGGGTTTGTTCAGATTTCAGAGAGGTTTGGTTGCAGGTACAGTCTCAGATTATAAGGGTCAGATTCTCAAGAATCTGAGAAGCTCAGGTTGTGATGATCAACGGAAAAGATCATCGTTGTGGAGCTTGTAGCAGCAAGGTTTATCTCCATTAAAATGGATTCAGGCTGTTAAGTATGATGTTGTTTATCCAGTGACAGTAATGTGCAGAAACAGATGTAAATCTGTTGGAACCTCATATGGACGTTTTTTCTCCATAAATGAACCAGTCAAGGCTCATTAGAGAGTTTTGGAGAGTCATCAAGTTACCTCAAGAAGGAAGCAGTCGGAGCAAAGGTTATTTGCTGGAACAAAGGTTATTTGGGGTAATAGCAGTTGATAGCTTCTGTGAGGTATAGTGAGTGACAAAGGCAAGGTCGTGCTAAGAGTTTCAGTAGTTCTCTCAAGGCGTTTCTGCAGAAGACTACAGGTGATGGACTCTTGATAAAGCTCAAGGAGAAGTCATTTTTCCTTTTACATAATCCAAGAAGGAGAAGCAGTTTTATGGTTCTTGTGATTGTGTAAAAGAGTCCAATGAGGATAGTTATGCTGGTTATGGTTCATCTGGACATGAAAGATTCAAGGTTCAAGTCTGCGTAAGAAGTCTCGGATCATTGCTCAGGGTTTATTCAAAGGAGAATCGCAGAAATATCATTTCATGACAGCTTGATATTTCTGTAAAAGAATGGTGGAGCATTTGAGATATTTGGAGAACGTGGCACTAGTTCTGGTAAGTCAATTTCAGAGCTATGTGAAGAAAATCAAGATGTCAGTGGTTATAACAAGGTACAGCATAGTGAAGACAGTCAATGCCTATTCAGTTTGGTGTTACAAATCATATTGGGGAAACTTCAGAGAAGTAAAGCGCTTGGTGGGATCTTCTTGTATAAGTGATTTGTTGAAGTGGCTGGAAAATGAAGATAAATATGTCATAAGGTCTGACATACAGTTCAAATTAAGAAGCCATGGTTAACAAATGGGTTACACAGAACAGCAAATGGATCAAGAATGAAAGTGCAGAAAGGTTTATCTCGTAGAAGTGAAGATAAGTGTGAGAATCACAATGAGGCCAGAAAGGTTATTGTTTCAGGTGGAGTCTTGTCTCTACAGAGGTACTGTAGCGCACATCATCAGATGTTTTTTGACTCCAAGTGAGACATTGGTCATTTCAGAAGGGTTCTCAGGATATTTCAAGTTTGTTAATGGTTTGAGGACTTGTGAACTTTCACGAGAAGGGTCACAAAGATTCAGGTTGGTTCAGTGTGGTAAGAAGAAAAGAAAGCCAAGTGCAGAAAAATGTCAAGAGGTTTAAAGCTCACGCAAGGCTCTAAACAGTTGGAGTATAAAGACTTTGTGAGGAGTGTGTCATCACTTGTCAGTGATCATGTGTTCTTCAAATACATCAAAGCAGAATCAAAACAGGTATGATCAGTTATTATCTAACAAAATTTTAAGTTTTGATTTTGCAGTTCTTAACAGAGAAAGGGAAGACACAGTTCAAGGTGGAGCAACTTCAGTGTATGCTCGAGTTCTACAAAGTAAAGTTACTCAAAGATAAGCAACAACAGACATTCACGGTTGGTTAGTATCTGTTTGTGGAATGCTAGATTCAGAGAGTTTTTCAAAGAGTCAAGAGCAAGTGTTGCAGAGCTACCTCAAGGTTCCAAGTTTTGGTGAAGTCTGTATGCGGTTAAAGGTATTGCAGGTTATGTCTACATCAAAAGTGTCTCAGGGAAAGCCACAGGTTTTGTGAGTAAGAGGCAGAGATAAAGAAATCAGCAGGTGGTCAAAATTTGTTGGTTGAGGTTTTGCTGAAGCAGGTTACAGTTTGAGCAGAGTTGAGCAGAGATTCTCTGTATCGAAAGTCTTCTTAACCGGGTGGAGTTAGGCGGCGTGTTCTGTTGGCAACAGCAGCGGTGCAGAGTGATGTTCAAGTGTATTGTGTTCAAGCAATGCTTCTGGTTAGAAGCAGAGGTGCTTCAGATTCGTCAGTTGTTTCAAGATAGCATGGAGTCAAGTTTCTGGGCAGAATGTTTGGTGATTTCAGTTGCAGCAACAAGTTTTATGGCATTAGTTGTCATCGGTGGATCTCAGTCATGGAAAAAGACTCACAGGCCAACCATACTAGTTAAAGGTGAAGCCTATGGAGAGTTTTTCTATTGACGGTGTTGCTCAAGTGGTCATCTCAAGTTTCCAGGATATGGAAAGCGCCACAGAAGATTCAGTGAGAAGTTGGGTGTAACACATGGCTGTGTTAGTGAAAGCTATACAACTTAAGAAGACATGAGGATGTTAATGGTTCGGGAAAGGCAGTGAGGATTCACAGCTAGAATTCATTGAGTTTTATGTCTGGCTTACTGATTGTTGATCAAGTGCTGAAGATTGAAGTTGTCTGGGTTATGAGCTAAACTTAAAGGAAGCAGATACGGGAAATCTTCAAGTTGGATCAGGATATGTTGACTAAAGATGTTAGAGGAAGCAAGTTTCAAAGAAGCGTTGAAGATGCTTCAAGTTATTGGAAGATGAAGGACGGTAAAGTCCAAAGTTGAGCGGAGAAGCTCAAAGTTGAGTGGGTTTACTCATGAAGATATGAAGCAGAGTATTTTCTCAGAAGATCTGAAGCTGGGAGGAGTTTCTCAGGAGGTGGAGCAAGTTTCTGCTCATGTCACCAGAAGTGAAGTTTCACTTAAGATCTAAGCTGAGAAGAAGAAGATTCAAGACCAGTTGGTCAAAGCAGAACAAGTTTATGTTCAAGGATGAGTGGTGATTGATAACTCATCAAAGCTAGAGCGGATCATATGATGCAGAACAAGGTGGAGATTTGAAGAGGTTATGTTCTGAATCATATGTACGTTTAATACTATCTCTTTGTGCCTCGGTTTGATTGGGTTTGGGTTAGCTGGTTTTAGCTTAACCATTGAAGTGTGCATCTGGTTATGATACACGGGTGAGAGAATAATCTTGTACCGGCCAATTATATAAGGTCAAGAGAGTTTCTAGAAACCAAAAGAGAGAAGATCTGAGATCATCGTTGTAACAGATCGGAGAGTTAGAGAGAGAGGCACAAAGAGATAGAGATTCCGTTCTAGTAAAAAGTTGCCGGCGTTGCCGTGCCCCAGGAGAGTATGTAAGGAACTCCTGGGTTACCAAAAATTCTCTGTGTTGATTCTATCTTGGTTCTACTTTCTTTCTTCTTATTGCAATCGCAGCATCAAATCCGGAAGAGAATCTAGGTCGATTCTTCAACATCTCCCTTCCGAGTTGGTCAAGTCTAAACTCTTATTCTTATTTCAGGAGTCACCACAACCGAGAACTCCATTCCACGGCGTTGGAAGAACTGTAGCCGAACCAGACTGTGTCTCTACTGAGCCACCAATTTCATCCGACTCACTAACCACTACACTGCCACCATCAGTGGACCTAGTGTTAGATCCCGCAGCGCCAACAACCTTGATCCATTTCAGGCTAGCAGACGGCACACGTTTGGTCTCCCGGTTTAATACTCATCACACCGTTAGAGACGTCCGAGGTTTCATAGACGCGTATAGACCAGGTGGCTCCAAAGACTACCAATTACTCATCATGGGATGTCCTCCTAAACCACTACCTGATTTTGACCAAACCCTCGAGAATGCTGGCATCTACAACTGTGTCATCATCCAGAAATTCTAGCTACTTTCTGTTTTTTATTGAAGTACATAATCAACTTTTTTAGTTACGTTTCATTAGAAACTCTCTTCTGATTTTTTTTAATTGTATTTTCTCTAAGTCTTGAAGTGTTTGACTCATCTTTGACTTGGATCATCCGTCAACGATTTGTTTTCCTTGATTTTTACTTCAATAGAGAAAGAAAAAAAAAATCGGTGTAAACTACAATTTGACCGATAGAATCAGTTTCAATCGTCAGTTATATATAAAAAAAAAAAAAAAAAATCTGATTGGATATTTATAGGAATAGACCAATTAGTGTTCCGTTTACTTTGTTAAATGGGTAAGTTTTGACTTTTGACTCACCTGCCGCCACTCTGTCAAAACCGTGCGTGTCCATGTTGTTGATTTTTTTTTCGCTCTGTTCTCCCTTTTTTTTTGTTACAAAGAAAAAAAACATTGAATATTGAAAATATCTGGATGTTCAAGGTTGTAATTGGATCAGAGAGCTCAGAAGATTAGTGTAAATGGATTTACTGTAAAAAATCCGTTGAGAGGGGATAAGGGAGAGAGAGACGATTAGTTTTGATCTTTAATCTCTTCAATATTTTCGTTCATTACAACCTTAAATCTCTCTTAATTTTGTTCCCTTTTTCTTACAGATTTTTTTTTAGTTCTGTCTGGATTTCGTCTGCTCCTTTTTCCCCCTTTTCTTCTCCTACCTTCTTCTCTCTCTCGCTCGATTCAATTCCAGCGGAGAAAGGAGCAGCCTTTTCTTAACAGGGCTTATCACCAGATCCTTTTTTGCTAAAAAGCTTGTAACTTTATTTGATTTCCTCTTCTCGGGATCTCCTCTTCACACTCATCTGCGAAATGTAAGCTCTTAATTCGTCTCTTATCTCTCCAAATTCCATTTCTTAGTTTTGTTCTTCTCCAAATCTCATTCTGATACGCTACCATCTCTCTTGTGATTTTCGGTTCAGGGTACTGAAAAATTAGGGTTTTTTTTCATTCGGCGAATCTGTTATGCTTAGAGCTGGCTTTGGATCAATTTAGTGCCAATATGATCAAACAGATATTTGGGAAATTGCCCAGAAAGACTTCGAAATCATTGCAAAATGACTCGAACGGTAGTGGTGAAGCAGCTGTGAACTCCTACTACGCCCCAAATTCGACCACTAACATCTCCAAACCTTCTTCAACATCTTCCAAATCATCATCAAATGGCACTATTGCTCCTAACAAGACAACGACCAAGACTCAACCTAGTGCATACGAGCCGTTACCAAGCTTCAGAGACGTTCCTCTCTCTGACAAACCAAACCTCTTCATCGGGAAACTGACCATGTGCTGCGTCGTCTTCGATTTCACCGACCATTCAAAGAACCTCAAAGAGAAGGAGATAAAGCGGCAGACTTTACTCGAGCTCGTCGACTACATCGCATCCGTCGGCGCCAAGTTCAACGACGTCACAATGCAAGAGCTCACGAAGATGGTCTCTGTAAATCTCTTCAGAACGTTCCCATCAGCGAACCACGAGAGTAAAGTCCTCGAAACGCACGATGTTGTAGACGACGAGGAGCCTTCTCTAGAGCCAGCTTGGCCTCACATTCAAGTCGTCTACGAGATCCTCCTACGATTCGTCGCGTCTCCAATGACAGACGCCAAGCTCGCGAAGCGTTACATCGACCATTCCTTCGTGTTAAAGCTCCTAGACTTGTTTGACTCCGAAGACCAACGAGAGAGAGAGTATCTGAAAACGATCTTACATCGTGTCTACGGGAAGTTCATGGTGCATCGGCCTTATATACGAAAGGCGATAAACAACATCTTCTACAGATTCATATCCGAGACAGAGAAGCATAGCGGTATAGCGGAGTTATTAGAGATTCTTGGAAGTATAATTAACGGATTCGCTCTGCCGTTGAAAGAAGAGCATAAGCTTTTCCTTGTGAGAGCGTTGATTCCGCTTCACAAGGCGAAATGCTCGTCCGTGTATCACCAGCAGCTTTCGTATTGCATTGTTCAGTTTGTGGAGAAGGACTTCAAGCTCTCTGATACTGTGATCAGAGGGCTGTTGAAGTATTGGCCTGTGACTAACAGCTCGAAAGAAGTGATGTTTCTTGGCGAGTTGGAAGAAGTCTTGGAAGCTACGCAAGCTGCTGAGTTTCAGCGTTGTATGGTTTTGCTTTTTCGACGGATCGCTCGTTGCCTCAACAGTTCGCATTTTCAGGTTTGAGTCTCTTTGGTTTGGTTTAGTTTGGTTTGATCATGTTTTCTTGATGAGTTCTTGTAATGATAAGGAAGTGTTGTGTGCTTTTTGTTGTTTGGTTAGGTTGCTGAGAGAGCGTTGTTTCTATGGAACAATGATCATATAAGAACTTTGATCACACAGAATTATAAAGTGATAATGCCTATAGTGTTCCCGGCTCTTGAGAGGAACACGCGTGGACATTGGAACCAAGCTGTTCAGAGTCTGACGATAAACGTGAGGAAAGTGTTTAGCGATATTGACCAGGTGCTGTTTGATGAGTGTTTGGCTAAGTTTCAAGTGGAAGAAGAGAGTCAAACGGAGGTTAAGGCGAAACGGGAAAGGACGTGGAAGCGGTTAGAGGATTTGGCGAACGAGGCGGTGATGGTTCCAAGATTTGTGAATTCGGTTAATCTTGCAAGCAGCTCTGAGTAAAATGGTTTCTGCTCTGTTTTTTTTATCAGCCTATGCTTCAAATGGTAACGAGACAGATTGAGTTGTTTGGAGCAATCTGGAATCGGTTTTTTTCTTGAGGCAACACAGAAGGTTTTCGGAAATGTGATTGAATTAGAGAGGAGTGTGAAGGAAGTGTATTTCAATTCTCATCACTGAATACTTTCTTTTTAACAAATTTTTCTAGTTGCTTTGATCTTGTTTTATAAGGGGGAATAGGCAAACATATGTCTTGTAAGAAACTATTGGTATGGTTCTTGAGAGAAAACGACCGACTTGTATAATTATTTTTTCAATTAATATCTTTTGGATCAAATTGAGAATTAATTGATCTATTTTTTTTTGAGCCAATATTAGTAGGCATTGACCTGATTTTGCTATAAATATTTAGTGTTACATATCGAATTCAAAATGTAAACAAGGCATATCAAAAACGAATTTTAATAAACTAAAAAATCATTTAATTTACCAACTGTATACAGATGATGCGTTTGCGTTCACATTACAAAAAATGGCGGTCTCTTCATTACTCTGTCTTCTTCTTGCTTGACCAAAGACTTTTAAAATTCCAGCAGCTACCTGATTGCTTTAATTGATCTCTGTTTTAAAATTAAGAAATTCCTCAAATAATTAAAAATCACTAAATTAAACTAATATTCTTACCGAACATAGTTGAAAAAAAGTCAACGTAGAACTTGTCAACTTCTCCTCCTCTCTGAATCCTCTTCTCTTCCAGAAAACACAGAGACGTCTTCGAATCTCCGAAATTGAGCTCGTTTCTCTCCGGCGATGAAGCTACGAATTCCAATCGCTACTCTTCTTCTTCTTTCTCTATTCTTGCCGTCAACTCAGTTCTTCGCCGTGGAGTCTAAATGCTTAGGAAGCTGCGATTCAGCTCTGGCTTCTTACTACATATGGAACGGATCAAACCTCTCCGTCATCAACCAGTACCTCGATTCTCCATCCGCACCGTACGATTCGATCAATTTCGACCCGATCCTAAGTTACAACAGAGACATAACGAACAAAGACTTGATCCAGATGGGCTCTAGGGTTCTCGTGCCTTTCCCTTGCGAATGCCAACCTGGAGATTTCCGAGCTCACACGTTCCGATACCGTGTCCAGCAAGGAGACACTTACGAGACCGTGGCCACTAGGAACTACGCGAATCTCACGACGGTCGAGTCCTTGCAGAGGACGAATACTTATCCGGCGGAGAGCATTCCGCTCTCCGCCACGCTCAACGTCTCCGTGAACTGCTCTTGTGGAGACGAGAGCGTCTCGAAGGAGTACGGTTTGTTTGTCACTTACCCGCTTCGTCGTGAGGATAGTCTCAATTCGATTGCGAGGTCGTCCGGTGTACCGGCGGAGACTCTCCGGAGGTATAACCCTCAAGTCGATTTCAGCTCAGGGAATGGGATTGTTTATGTTCCCGGGAGAGGTAAAGATGTTTTGGAAGTTTCTTTGATTGGTTTGTGGATGTTTCTTGATCGAATGATTCTTCTGTGTGTTTTGCAGATCCAAGCGGTGCATTTCCACCATTCATCTCAAGGTTGTTTTCTTCATTGTATCTCTTTCTCTTTTGATCTCTGTTGCTGATGTATTCTTGCTTCCTCTTGTGTTTGTGTAGTAACCAAGGTGGTATTGGAGCTGGAGTGATTGCTGGTATATGTGTAGGAGTGTTGTTGGCTCTGTTGTTAGTATCTTTGATCGTATATTATGTTTACCGGAAGAAGAAGTTGAAGAATGGTTTGGTTTCATCTTCTCTCCCATTGTCTTCTAAGGCTGATCAAGGTATTTTTTTATGATGGATCATATACGAACATATTTATGTCTGGAATTTGCTTACTTAATCTGTCAGTTTGCTACTAGGTTCTGCTTCTAGCCTCCAGAGTGGTGATTTGGTTGGTGCTGGAGTCTCTCCACGCATTGCGGCTATAAGCGTGGACAAGTCTGTTGAGTTTACGTTGGAGGAGCTTGCAAAGGCTACTGATAATTTCAATCTGTCGTTTAAGATTGGGCAAGGTGGTTTTGGTGCTGTTTACTATGCAGAGCTGAGAGGAGAAGTAAGCAGAGATTTTCTTTTTAGCTATGTTACAAGGTGTTTTGTTAGGGACATTGAAATTATTGGTTTATGTATAGAAAGCTGCAATCAAGAAGATGGACATGGAGGCATCGAAACAGTTCTTGGCAGAGCTAAAAGTCTTAACACGTGTACATCATGTCAATCTGGTAAAGCCCTTTTGAGATCACTTAAAGATCAATTCTTGATCATATTTTTTTCAGATAACAAACTGATTTTTTGTCGTTGCAGGTACGTTTGATTGGTTATTGTGTTGAGGGATCTCTGTTCTTGATTTATGAGTATGTTGAAAATGGCAACCTTGGACAACATTTACATGGAACAGGTACACACTTTAAAGACCCCAAGGAAAAAAACAGAGAATCACTTTTTGAAGTAAAACTAAGGAGTTTATTTGTAATTAGCACGAGATTCGCTACCATGGAGTAAGAGAGTGCAGATTGCGCTAGATTCAGCTAGAGGTTTAGAGTATATCCACGAGCATACGGTTCCTGTTTATGTTCACAGGGACATTAAATCTGCCAATATATTGATAGACGAGAGCTTCCGAGCAAAGGTGATTCTCAACTTCTGAAACAATCAAACAAAGAATATCTCTTTGTCACGGCTCTGAGTGACTTCCGTGTGTTACAGGTCGCTGATTTTGGTTTAACAAAACTAACAGAAGTTGGAAGCTCAGCGACACGTGGTGCAATGGGTACATTTGGATACATGGCCCCAGAGTAAAGATTTTGATCTCTCATTTCTCTCTACATATATGTGTATATAGTTGACATCGTTATAGTGATGGTATTAAATGTGTAACTTTAGGATTGTTTATGGAGAAGTGTCTGCGAAAGTGGATGTGTATGCCTTTGGTGTTGTTCTGTACGAGTTGATTTCCGCGAAAAGCGCGGTTGTCAAACTAAACGAGTCCAGTGGTGAATTCAGAGGCCTTGTTGGTGTGGTTAGTATCATTGCTTGCTTCTTCAAGCATTTTGTCTTTTTGTGTAGTATGTAAGATCACTTAAACATATGGTTTATTTCTTTGTTATAACGTAGTTCGAAGAAGCATTCAAGGAGATTGACAAAGAAGAAGCACTACGCAAGATTATAGACCCGAGGCTCGGAGATAACTACCCGTTTGATTCGGTTTACAAGGTAAATCATTTCATCATTTTAATTAGAAGTGTCCGGTTTAACCATAGCGAAATCAAACCAAACCGATAAAAAAGTGCAACTTCTTTGTTCAAACTGAAAGTGAAAGTGAACCAAGTAGTAATCGGTTTCTATATTTTACAAGAAAACCGGATGGGACATAGTTGAGTTGAATCTAATAACTGGTTAAGGCTAAACCAAGGCAATGAAATGTGATTAATGTTTTGGGGTTTGTGTGGTTTAGATGGCGGAGTTAGGGAAAGCTTGTACGCAAGAGAATCCGCTGCTACGTCCTAGTATGCGATACATTGTGGTCGCATTATCCACTCTTTTCTCGTCGACGGGCAATTGGGACTTCGGAAACTTCCAAAACGATGATCTTGTTAGCCTAATGTCCGGCCGGTAGAGTTTTCCGGTTTGCTGTTTGTAGAAATGATTGTTTTCGGTTTAACTTGTAATTGAATTTGTTTATCAACAATGCTCCGGTGTGTAAATTCCTAATACGAACTTTGCAGTTTGCACATGTCACCTTTGACTTTTATATAATTTTCAATAACGATATGTCCAGTTCGACGTCAACAATCTCATCATCTTACGCTAATGATTATTGATGTAATGCGTTAGACTAAAAAATAGTACACTTATTAATTTTTGAAGATTGTGATGGATACAGGATACTCTCTCGAAGCTTAGAACAAGTCTTTCATGATACATAGTGAAATATAATTCTTTTAACTTTTACTCTTTCTTTTTCTTTTTTTTATCGGAGGAGTCCATTGTCGTATATGTTTTTATTTCTCAAAGCGAGATTTTCTATCGATAAATGTTTTGTCTTACGTTATCATTGTTTGTAACGATTAACGAATAAAAAACACGAAGGTAACCTTAAATTTGCATAAATAAAAAACCAAACTCTTTCTCTAAAATCAGATCTTCCTTAAACTTTTTGACATTGTGCTCTCTAAACCTGGGGAATATATAAAAAAATTACATTGGAAAACGTTAAACAAAAGCCGACGTCAGAGAAAAAAGGTAATATAAAATATTAGCCAACTAGCCGTTATGAACATGTAACCATTATTGTCAAATTTATTCTGATTTTCTTAAAGAACTGAAAAGGAAACAGTAACGGACAAAGTATACTTAACTTACATAACATTTTCATTTTTTATTTCCTTTAAAATTACAGGGATTAACAAAATCAGCGTATGCCAGAATGCCAGGTACATGCAGCATTAAAATTTTAATGTTTAATTTAATTCATAACACCCAAAACGTATGAATCAGCAGAAATCTTACTTCAGTTGAATCTTGGATCGATTTCCCAAAAACAAAACCCAATTTAGAATAATATCTGTCATTTACTTTCATTAATAATATTTCTTCTTCTTCTTCTGATCCGAGTCTCTTCTTCTTCTTCTTCTTCTTCAGTTTCGTCTTCACCGTCTCCTTCCTCTGAAAAACTCTGTTTCACTTCACCAATAGAAACAGCAACACGAGATTCGTCACTGAGCTCTTGAGAAGGTAATTAAAGTTAATCTTGATTATTTACGAATAATTTTATTCTTGATTCACTGTTCATTAGGATTTGACTGAATCTGAAAAGATAATGACTGGGACCCGAAGTTTCCGGTTTCTGAGTTAAACGAAATCAAATCCGTGTAAAATTCGATAATTATTCAGAAATTCACAATTTGGGATAATTTCAATTACCCTCTATCTTTTTACTTCAATTGCAAGAAACAAACCCTAGTAGCTAAAGCTTTCTCTTACTTGTTCTTTGTGAAAATGTTCAGGAAGATTCTTCTTCTTTCTCAAAAGTAAAATCATGGCTACACTAAACGACATCGGAGTAGCAGCAGCGATCAACATTCTAACAGCGTTCGCATTCTTCATCGCCTTTGCGATTCTCAGGCTACAACCTGTTAACGACAGAGTCTATTTCCCCAAATGGTACCTCAAGGGTTTAAGAAGCAGCCCTATTCAATCAGGTGGCTTCGTCAGCAAGTTTGTCAACCTCGATTTCCGATCTTACATCAGGTTCTTGAATTGGATGCCTCAAGCACTTAGAATGCCTGAGCCTGAGCTCATCGATCACGCTGGATTAGATTCTGTCGTCTACTTGAGAATCTACTTACTCGGGTACGTTTTTATCTTGAAACCACTCTGTTCTTGAATCTTTATGCGAATTCTTGATCATTACGGTTTTTGAGAAATTCAGGTTAAAGATCTTTTTCCCAATAGCTTTTGTTGCGTTTGCTGTGTTGGTACCGGTTAATTGGACGAACACGACGTTGGACAAGTTACAGAATCTGACGTTCAGTGACATTGACAAGCTCTCTATATCAAACATACCAAATGGATCATCAAGGTATGAATATTGAAAAGGGTTTGATATTTTGTAGATAATGTGATGTGTCTTTTGATTTCAATTCTTGCTTCTATAGGTTTTGGACGCATATATGTATGGCTTACGCTATTACTTTCTGGACATGCTTTGTTCTAAAGCGAGAGTACAAGATTATTGGCTCCATGAGGCTACAGTTTCTTGCTTCTGACCAAAGGAGACCTGACCAGTTCACAGTAATCTTGAATCTCTCTTGATCCAAACTTAGTTTTAGTTTCTGAGATTAATGATCGTCTATTTTTTAATCTAGGTTTTGGTGAGGAACATACCTCCAGATCCTGATGAATCAGTGAGTGAACTTGTTGAGCATTTCTTTTTGGTCAATCATCCAGACTACTACCTCACTTACCAGGTAATACAACTTTGATCTGACTTAGGATGATGAATCCATTTTTTTCCGGTTTGAATTCATCTTTCGGTTTAACAAAACAGGCTGTCTACAATGCTAACAAGCTCTCGGAATTGGTTGAGAAGAGGAAGAATTTGCAGAATTGGCTTGATTACTATCAAAACAAACACTCTAGAAATCCATCTAAAAGGCCTCTCATCAAGGTAAAGCCATCACATTGCTTTCTTCCTTTATAAAAAAAGTAACTTGATAATCAATCTTCTACTTCCTTGAGCAGGTTGGTTTTCTTGGCTGTTGGGGTGAAAAAGTTGATGCAATCGATCACTACACAGACAAAATCGAGGGTCTAACAAGAAAAGTAAATGGCTTCACTTATTTCACAATAACCTTGTGTTAAGGATTTGATCATCTTGTTGCTCTAACTCAAACTACTTTACTTTGATGTGTTTTGCAGATAAGTACAGAGAAAGAGACAGTAACGAGCAGCACAAAGTCGCTCGTGCCCGCGGCTTTCGTATCATTCAAAAGGCGTTGGGGAGCAGTGGTTTGCTCTCAAACTCAACAGTCAAGAAACCCAACAGAGTGGCTCACCGAGTGGGCACCAGAGCCACGAGACATCTACTGGGACAATCTTGCATTGCCTTATGTCCAGCTCACTATCCGAAGACTAGTCATCGCCGTAGCTTTCTTCTTCCTCACTTTCTTCTTCATGATCCCTATAGCTTTCGTCCAGACACTCGCCAACATTGAAGGCATCGAAAAGGCTGTTCCTTTCTTGAAACCTCTCATCGAAATGTAATACACAATCTCAATCTCAACCTCAAAATCCTCTGTTTCTCTCTGAGTTCTTGATTTCTTTTACAGGAAAACAGTGAAATCATTCATACAAGGCTTCCTTCCGGGGATTGCATTGAAGATCTTTCTCATCGTCCTCCCTAGCATACTCATGCTAATGTCGAAATTCGAAGGCTTCATCAGCAAGTCTTCTTTAGAAAGAAGATGTGCGAGCAGATACTACATGTTCCAGTTCATAAACGTTTTCCTCTGTAGCATCATCGCCGGCACAGCGCTTCAGCAGCTTAACAGCTTCTTGAACCAGTCTGCGACCGAGATCCCGAAGACGATCGGTGTGTCGATACCGATGAAAGCCACTTTCTTTATAACTTACATCATGGTGGATGGATGGGCAGGTGTTGCGGGTGAGATACTGAGGTTGAAGCCGTTGATAATCTATCATCTCAAGAACTTCTTTCTTGTGAAAACAGAGAAAGACAGAGAAGAAGCAATGGATCCAGGAACTATAGGGTTTAACACCGGTGAACCGCAGATACAGCTTTACTTCATTCTTGGCTTGGTTTATGCAGCTGTTAGCCCTATTCTTCTTCCTTTTATCCTCGTCTTCTTCGCTTTGGCTTACGTGGTTTATCGCCATCAGGTGAAAAGCCCTAATCTGAAAAATCTCTGCTTTTTAACTTCTGTCCCACGCTTAGGTAAGATCTAACCTTTTTTTGTTTTTTGTTGTTGCTTGCAGATTATAAATGTGTATAACCAAGAGTATGAGAGTGCTGGATCGTTCTGGCCTGATGTTCATAGACGTGTAGTGATTGCTCTGATCGTGTCGCAGCTTCTTTTGCTTGGATTGCTTAGCACGAAACATGCTTCTCGTTCGACTCCATTGCTGTTTATACTTCCTGTGTTGACCATTGGGTTTCATAGATTCTGCACAGGACGTTACCAACCTGTTTTTGTCAGATACCCTTTACAGGTTAGTTAGTGTCTCTGATGTATGACCAAATGAATATTCTTTCTCTGTGTGTTTGGGCTTAGTGACGATGTGTTTCTTTTTTTCAGGATGCAATGGTTAAAGATACGTTGGAACGCTTGAGAGAACCGAATTTGAACTTGAAAACGTTTCTTCAAAATGCGTATGCACATCCGGTGTTCAAAGCGGCGGATAATATTGGGAATGAGATGGTTGTGGAGGAGCTGGCGCCTGATCGGACGCCGGAATTAGTGGCCACTAAACGAAGCTCAAGGAGAACGCATAGTGGTGGCTCTCTTGAAAGTGGAAACCTTTAGAGATTAGTATTATTAGTGAAGAGTTTTTGATGAGATTTTTTTTTATGTTTTCATGAATGATTTTATAGGTTTATGGAAGAAGTTTTCCATGTTTGTTGTGGTTTTCTGTTACATCAATTTTTACAAGACAAATTTAGGCGAACAATGTATAGATGAAGAATTGACATTGAGCTCAAAGGGCAAATACAAAATTGGTCATGATTTTTCTGAAGTAAGATTAAAAAACAAAGTATTATTTTGTTAGGCCAATATCAATGTGAATACAACAAATACAAACGTTTCATAAACCAAAGATCAGTATATGATCTTATCAATCTTTATGAGCTTGAATGTGTAAATCATGGAAAATGCTTACAAATCTATCTCTTATGGCTTATGAGCTAGACATGATCCAGAAGAACCTCTCAAGGTACTTCTTAAAAATGTTTATTACACACTTAAACAGATCATTCCTTAGAATTTTGCGGACGAACACTAGATCTACTCATGGTTTTGTGAAATAGGTATACCATGGGAGAAGGATCACCACAAAACAAACTCCGACAGTGAATGCAACCAAGATAGGAGTATAAGCAAGTGTTACAAGTACCGTGGCATTTATGAATAGGCTCGTTTTTTCTAAAAATTCACTCGAAAGCTTTGCCCGAATGAGAAGCATTACTGCTACAACAGATGCGAGCATTGGAATGCTGTTGCACAATACAAAAGCCATGAATATTGTTTTCTTGGCCAAACCTGTGATGCCTATATTTGGAGCAGAACTCATGTAAAACATTCTACATGTGAAAATTATAACGAATGCCACAGCTGCTTCGATTATTGCAAGAACCATAAGAATTGAGATAGGACTATAACCCTCTGATTTAGATTCTTTGTGACGCTCTGAATCACTCGAGATAATTGGCTGTGAGCCATTTGGTGAATTAGCAGATCTCAAGGCCATATCCAAGTTGGTTAAATCTATCTCTCTCTGTAAAAAATTATATGAAACATGATGATAGGGATTTACAAGAACATGTTTTAAATCAAGATTCAGGAATTAGATCACAAACGTTGACAAAGGGGAAAAGAGAAAAAAAAATAGTTCACAGGCTTTCTTTTTTCAGTTAAAATCCAAAAGAATAACTAGAACTTGAACATGGGAAGAAGATTACCTCAAGACGCTTTGAAATCTAGTAGATGGAGGTGAGAAATGAAGAAGAATTAAGAAGATGATTGTTCTGAACTTTGTCAATAAAATTGAAGCAGAAACCACACTATTTGATCCGATCAAGATATTGACTTACTCACAAGTCACAATAATAATAAGAAAGAATAAGTCTGAATGTTGCATACCAAATAACAATATTGATCCGAACAAGCAATTACATAACAGAATTAGGTCGTTGACTCCAACACAAAGTCTTCTTCTGTCTACTTGTTTTCTCTCCATATCTCTTACCTCTTCCCGGTGCTGTCTTTTACAATTGTATAGATGGAGGAGAATTGACATTGAGCTCAAAGAGCAATACAAATAGTACTCATAATTTTTCCTCAAGTAAGATAAAAAAGCAAGTCTTTATTATTAGTCCCCATATATATACAACTACACAAAACCGAGTTTGAAACCAGACAATGTGAATACAAGAAACAGAAACGTTATTTACACCAAAAGCTCAGTATATGATCTTATCAATCTTTATGAGCTTGAATGTGTAAATCATGGAAAATGAGCTTACAAATCCATCACTTATAGCTTATGAGCTAGACATGATCCATAAGAACTTCTTAAGCTACCTATTAAAAAGGTTTATTATTACACACTTACACATATCATTTCCTTACAATATGCAGAAGAACACGGAATCTATAGTCAGGCTTACGTATGCCATGGGAGAAGGACCAGCAGAAGACAAACTCCCACAACAAATGCAACCAATATAGAGTCAAAAGCATATTTTACAAGTGACATGCCTCCTAGGAATAGGAGAGCTTTCGGTAACGGTACCGCTAGTTTTGCACAAATGAGAAGCATTACTGCTACAACAGAAGCGAGCATTGTTACGCCGTTGCACAACACAAAAACCATGAATATTGCTTTCTTGAAGAAACCTGTGATGCCTATATATGGAGCATAACTCAAGTAAACCTTTGTACATGTGAAGCCCATCACAAACGCCACAACTGCTTCGATTGTTGCGAGCACCATCAACTGTCCGATAGGACCGATGCGACGCTTTGATTCGTCTGTATCTTGTCTGACGACAGATTCTCTGTCATGCTCTGAAATATCACTCGAGGGAATTGGTTGTGGGCCATTTGACGAACCAGCAGATCTCAAAGCCATATCCAAATTTGGTTAAATCTCTCTCTGTAAAAAAAATTATATGAGACATGATAATAAGAATTTACAAGAATATGTTTTAAAATCAAGATTGGGGAATTATATCATAAGTATATTGTTCACAAAGTTTAATTTTTTCCATTTGAAATCCAAAGAATAACTAGAACTTGAACATGGAAATATACACTCAAAGATTACCTCAAGACGCTTTGAAATCTAGTAGATGGAAGATGAAAAATGAAGATGATTGTTAAAGTTTTGAACTTTGTTTAGAAAATTGGATCAGAACCCACACTAGTTGATCCGATCAAGTTCTTGACTTACTCACATTAAGAAAGAAAAAGTCTGAATGTTGCGTAGCTTGCCAAACAAGCAATTTATCACATAACAGGATTAGGTCGTTGACTCCAACAAAAAGTCTCCTTGTTGATCGATAATTACAATATACTTTGAAGCCAACATGAGCCATTAATTAAAGTCGCATCTGAAACATTGCAATTTGCAACAGAGAGTAATAAAATCAAGTCAAAAGTCAAAACTGACGACAAAAACAATATTTTTTTTTTGGTAATATATTCCCAGTAATTGTTTCCTTCAAAATAACACAAAAAGCCCAAAGCTTTATGGAAATTTCCCAGTCGTGCGCTTCAACAAAAATATCTGACCTTTGTTTCGTCGACAATTGATCTTCGTAGTTTCTGATTGATCGAATCGAAGCAGAGCGATCGGGATTTCTCCGGTCGAGAGAGATATATCGCCGTAATGGACGAGGTGATGACGGTGGCGGACGCAGCCTCGTTAGGAGGCGGAAACAGGGCCTTGTACGGATCTCCTCCGTCGCAGAATTCGCTTCCTCACAATCTCCCGATCTTCTCCGCTTTCCTCGCATTCGCTCTTGCCCAGTTCCTCAAAGTTTTCACTAATTGGTCCGTTCAATCTCTACCTCCTCGTTTTTCAAAATTGGTTCCGATCTGCTAAGATTTTGATGCTAATTTTTTCCCAGCTCATTTGGGTTTTGTTATCATTTTCTATTGAATCGAATTGAAGAATAAAGATTGTCTCTTTCTTCCGTTAATCACTGTGAAGTTCCAGTGAAATCAAGCAACTTTTTACTCCAATTTGACTCAATTTGATTTTGATTTTGATTTTGATTCCATTTTTTTCCCAGCTCATTTGGCTTTTGTATTGATTATCGAATTGAAGAATTAAGCAACTTTTTGCTCCAATTTGACGAATTTTCGATGGATTGTGTAAAATCTAAGACTTTTCTCTTGCCCTCTCTGTTCTTTTGTAATTAGAGACTCCAGTCAATATCTTGATTTCTTTCTCAATCATGTTTTTGTTTCAGAGGTTGAATGTTTTCATTTGTGAAGCTATAGATATGTTGTAGTTAAGAAATTTAGATCAATAGCTGAAAAAAAGGGAATCTTAGATGAAGAAAATGGTGTTGAAAAATTGGAATTTTGAGAAGTGAATTTCTCAGTAGTTTCATGATGAATGTTAGATGTTTCAGGTACAAAGAAAAGAGGTGGGACTCTAAACGGATGATTAGTTCTGGTGGAATGCCTTCTTCGCACTCCGCCACCGTCACTGCCTTAGCTGTTGCCATAGGCCTAGAAGAAGGAGTAGGAGCTCCTGCTTTTGCTATCGCTGTTGTCTTAGCTTGCGTTGTGAGTTTTCTTCTCTCATTCTTGTCTCCATTTCAAAATGTTTCTTGCAGTATCATCTCCTTTGTGCCATTTCTTCAATTGAGTTCACATGTTTCGAATATACATAGTAACAGCCTTGTTTCGTTTAGTGTAGAAAAGATACTCAATATTGTGAACAGCCTCTTTGACTCCATATCAAAGAAACTCACTTACCATGATTGTATGATTCTTAATGTGTTGCAGGTAATGTATGATGCTTCTGGGGTCAGGCTTCATGCTGGTCGTCAAGCTGAGGTTAAGCCATAGGAGACTTATTAATCCTCTTTTTTCTCTGTTTTTGATGTCTTTTCACTTAAAGCTCTCTAGTAGGATTGTTTTCATGCTTTGTTAAAACCGGAAAGCCTTTTCATTTTCAGCTGCTGAATCAAATTGTTTGTGAGTTTCCTCCGGAGCATCCATTATCCACAGCTAGACCCTTGCGTGAACTGCTCGGCCACACTCCTATCCAGGTTTGCTCATTTTTGCATCAAAGGTTCTTGAATTTGTATCTTCTTAGACTTCTGGTTTTTTTTCAAGATAAACTTAACTAGTATTGATTGAAAATATCAAAACTATTGCTCTTAGTGAAGCTTTTGAACCAGCCTAGCTAATGTGTGGTAGCAATGTTAGAATCAGATTCTATTGCAGCATGTTCTGCTACATTAAAACAAAAGTTGATTAATTCTCTATCATATTGTTCAGCTGATTAACATTAACATTCACATATTGCTGTTTAATTGTTACAATCATGTTGCTGAGTTATGAGATTGAATTTGACAGGTTGCAGCAGGCGGCGTTTTAGGATGCGTGGTAGCTTATTTGATGAGGAGCACGAGCTAGTTTCTACAAAACAGAAAATCCGAAATTCTTTTGAAATCATAGAGAAGCATTGATCATCAGCGATGAAGCTGAGTCTGGAATCTCCGATTATTGGAGTAGATGGAAATTGTTAAAAATCTGTGTAATATATAGATCATAGTTAGATTTGTCTTTAAGTGAAGTGAATTGACTTGTTATCATTGACATTGTTTAAGCTTATTTCTTCTCTCAACATTCCATATTTTGTCTATACATAATCTCTATTTTTCTCCCAAAGAATAAACTTTCTCTGCCACACTCAGGCTATTGATGATTCCTCTTAGTCAGCCTAATCGATTTGATGATCTGTATTGGAATTGGTTTTGGCTTTAAATGACTGGCATAAGCAAAATATGGAATCAGATTCAAATTCTATATCTCACGTTCTGCTTTTGCCTTTAGTCTCTATTGGTTCACGCACTCTCTTTAAGGGTGTCCAATGAAGTAAGCCTGTGTACTCTCTGGTTGTTAAAGAGTTGACATGATGTCACATTTGGATAACATTCGCTTTCCGGATTATACAGAAAGGAACAAACTTGTCAATTTAGCTTCTAGCTCACTCAGTAGTCAGGACCACGATGCTGAGGTTCACACTGGTCATTGTCTTGTTCTATAAGCTAAACAACCTTAAGAAGTAAAGTCCCCCATATGTTCATATTTATCAAATTCGTTTCACAGAATAATGAATCCAAATTCCTTTTAAGATCAGGACTTGCGATTTCGCATAAAAATACACGTGTATGTGTACGTGTAGATGCGTGTAACGTCGTAAAGTATTGTTCCCATTTCCACCGAAAAAGAGGAAAACTGTAGAAGCAAGAATTTATTCACTTGAAATAAAATATGAATTAAAGTTAAAAATATTCCAACAAAAGCCAGAAAATTAAAAGTTTTAAAACTCATCCTCTGTTTCAAGATTACAAAACCTCTTAAGAGAGGAACGTCGCTGTAAGAAAAAATAGAAAGTAAGCAAAGAAGAAGAAAATGGGATGTTTTGGACCATCAAAAGCTTCAAGAACAAGAAACAAAGAACAAGACACGACCAGACACATCCCATCTCCTCAACCTCAACCCACGAGAGTGGAAGAAGTTCTGTTACAAATTCCGAGATGCAGAGTCCATCTCATCGACGAATCCGAGGCCGTAGAGCTCGCTTCCGGTGACTTCAAGCTCGTTAAAGTCTTAGACAACGGCGTGACTCTTGCTATGATCGTGAGAATCGGACGTTACCTTCAGTGGCCTGTGATTAGAGACGAGCCGGTGGTGAAACTCGACGCACGTGACTACCTCTTCACGCTTCCGGTTAAAGACGGTGATCCACTTAGCTACGGTGTCACTTTCTCCGGCGACGACAGAGACGTAGCCCTCGTGAACAGCCTGAGGTTGCTTGACGAGTTCTTGAAGGAGAACTCTTGTTTCTCGTGTTCGGCTTCGAGTAAAGTTAGCAATGGAATCGATTGGAAAGAGTTTGCGCCGAGGATTGAAGATTACAACAACGTTGTTGCTAAGGCTATTGCTGGTGGAACAGGACATATCATTAGAGGAATCTTTAGTTGCAGTAATGCTTACACCAACCAGGTTTCAGATAATCACACTCTTCCTATTTTTAGAAGCTCTCTTGATTATGTATACTATATATTACATGTTAATGAGTTTTTTATAATTGTAAAGCTTCACAAGGGAGGTGAAATAATGATTACAAAAGCTGAGGAGAAGAGTGGTTCATCCCATAGAAATGGAGGTTACAACAATGGAGACTCCAGTAGTAGTGAGAAGAAAAATGCAATCAACACAAACCTTCAACGGTATTCATTATTTGTCTTGATATATTTTCAGTTTGTTTGTCCTATGAAAATAATTTTTGCCACCTTCCTTTTAATACTTACTGTTTGCATTTACAAGTAACAAACAAAATTATATTTTAGGTTCTCTGGATTAATTTGGAAAATAATAGTCAAAAATATAAATATATCTTGGGTTCTTGAATCTTTGATACAAGCTCTCTTGTTGTGTGATATATATTAGAGTGCGGAAGCTGTCAAAAGCGACTGAGCATCTGAGCAAGACGATGTTGAATGGTGCTGGAGTTGTAAGTGGTTCTGTGATGGTTCCTGTGATGAAGTCGAAACCGGGGATGGCTTTCTTCTCAATGGTGCCAGGGGAAGTCCTCTTGGCTTCACTTGATGCCCTTAGTACGTTGTTACAAAGAGTAGACATTTTAATGAAACTCAAAACAAATGGGGGTGAAAAAAACTTTAATGAGATTTTATTTTTTGTTTGGTTTGAAGACAAAATACTAGATGCAACTGAAGCGGCTGAGAGACAAACTCTAACTGCCACATCCAGGGCTGCTACTAGAATGGTCAGTGAGAGGTAAATATTGTCACCTTAAAATTCTCTAACTTCAAGATTCATTCATGTAAGTGGTAATGATAAGTTAATTGTGATTAAACACATTTATAAACTGATAATGGCATGTTTGGCAAAGCAGGTTTGGAGAGAACGCAGGAGAGGCGACCGGAGATGTATTAGCAACCGCGGGGCACGCGGCTGGAACTGCATGGAATGTTCTCAAGATCCGCAAGACTTTCTATCCTTCATCTTCTCTCACATCCGGGATCGTCAAAAATGCTCCAAGAAAGTGATGTATTGTGTGCTATATTTTCAGTTGCTTATGATCGATGCAAAACTAAAACCAAGCTGTTATTTATGATCGATGCAAAATCAAAACCAAGATCGGTTTCATATTTAGATTCTCTACATAACGCACGATAAAGACAGCCATGAACTGATTGAATTTTTCAAAACCGAGAGTTTTCCTTCAGTATAGACGAAATTAACATCACACGTACCAACGTACGCTCCAAATTGGTAATTATCATTTATTTAGTTTATAATGTTACATGACCACTTCCCTAGTTTTTTTCTTCCTTTTATAGTTTTATGGCTAGTAGACTAAATCTCCCAAAAAATATTTATAGTTTACATTTTTTGTGAAAACAAGATAATGTCAATGAAAAAAATATGTTGAAATTAAGAAGAAAACTTAATTTGAGCAAATTGTCGGAAAGAAAGACAATTTCAAGACACTAGGCCACTAGAAAAAATTGAATAGTTCCTAGTAGATCATATTACTAATTCTCCAGTATCAAACTATGAGACCATAATCTATATAGCCTAACTTCTTATTCCGGCCATCAAAATATTATAATCTTAAGTGGTTTAAGCCATTGCCTTCAATCTTCCAACACTTTTCCAACGAGTCTCTCATACAAAACCACACTTCAAGAGTAAAAAATGTCCCAAAATGTGAAAGAAGAAATCTTATTGCAGATTCCCGGTTGCAAAGTCCATCTCATCGATGAATCTGAACAGGTTGAGCTCGCCTCTGGGGAGTTCAAGCTTGTAAAAGTTTCATCAGACAACAAGATGACTCTCGAGATGATCGTCAGAGTCGGACTTGACCTTCAATGGCCGGTGGTCAAAGATCATACGTTGGTGAAAGTCAACGCTCGTGAATACCTCTTCACGCTTCCGGTGGAAGACAGCGATCGACTTAGGTATGGAGTTACTTTCTCCGGCGAAGACGGAGACGTAGTGAATAGCCTTGAGTTTCTAGAAGGTTTCATGAGGGAGAATTCTTGTTTCTCATCTTTGAGTTCGAGTAAGAACAACAATGAAATTGATTGGAAAGAGTATTCTCCGAAGGCTGGAGAATACAAAAGCGTTGTGGCCAAGGCCATAGCCGGAGGAACAGGGCATATCATCAAAGGGATCTTCGCTTGTAGCAATTCTTACTCTAAGAAGGTCTAGCTAGTTTAGACGCACTAGTAATTAACTAATTATATTTATAGCTTTATGTGTATAATTTGGTTTTTAATGTAGTTTCTGATAAAACAGGTTCACAAGGGAGGAAGTGAGATAAAGATTAGAAAAGAGACCGAGGAAAAGAGTGGGGATGCATCAGAAAGTAATGAAGCTGACAAGAATGGAACTGATAAGAAGAATAAATTGAACACAAATCTTCAACGGTATTTACACATTGTTGTTTATTCCTTCTGTTTTCAAGATATAAATTTTTTAATGATTGCTGACCAAAAAGAAGAAGAAGAGATCTTCTCACAGTTTATATAAATAATTTAATTATTTTAAATTTTACCATTATTAAAAAATATTTGGTCAAAGAAATCTAAAATGCTAAATATCTATTGTTTTAAAGAAGTATATACTACACCAAACAATCAAATTTGTTTACTTAAATAAGTATCATCTTGTCTACTTTTTTATGAACCAAATCATTGGTAAGTTTATTGAATGTAACATATACTATACATAGAGTTGAGAAAATGTGGAATGCGAGCGAGTCCATAGGAGCCACAGTCTTAGACGGTGAAGGCATGGTGAGTGGTATAATGATAGCTCCGGTGGTTAAGTCCAAGTTAGGGAAGGCGTTGTTATCCACTGCTCCCGGAGAGGTTTTCTTGGCTTCGCTTGATTCTTTTAGTAAGTTACTACATTAATTAGATTCATTAGTTGTCACACTCTCTACTCAGCTTCATTAGTTTTCAAGATTTCTTGGGAACAGATATAATGTTTGATTTTATCCAATAGATAAAATACTCGGTGCTGCTGAAGCTGCAGAGATACAAGCTCACTCTGCCTCATCTATGGCCGCTACTAAACTTATGAGTAAGAGGTAAATTCTCCTCAAATTTGACTGAATTATGTATATGTAGAAAGTAATTTTGAAATTGTTAGTATACAATCTCACATTGCTAATGAGGTGAGTTCTAGGATTGGATGCAACACACATTTTATACCAAAATTTGGTTTTTGATAGTCCAGAGTTTTTCCCCAACTTCTTTATTTGGTTAGGACTGCTTAAAATGTGCGTGTTATATAACATTTGAAAATTTATGCTGAAATTTTCATTTGATTTGTTTTATGGACATAATATCTTGTTTTGAGTGTGTGTAACTCGTTTCTATAGTTTTGGAGAAAAGGCCGGAAAAACCACCGGAAAAGTGCTGGAAACAACGGGCAGCTTAGGCCGAACCGCATGGAAGATTCAAAAAGCTCTCGAGCCGTCTTTTTCCTTGGCATCAGAGATTGCCAAAAATGCTCCGAGACAGTAACTTTATGTTTTCAAAGCTGAGTTATATTTTCATAAATACTCCCAACTACATATGTATACAGTAGAAACTCTATAAATTAATATTCGATAAATTAATAAACACGATAAATTAATAAATTTCTCTGGTCCCGAGTTGGGCCGGTGTAAAATATGACACAATTTGATAAGATAATAAGATAATAACTTTTTTTGAAATCCTATGTAAAATATGGTCCCAATAATATCATAAATTAATAATTATTTTTATTTATATATATATATATATACACCTAAAATATCTAATTACTAAAATATGAATCTCTCAAACACCAAACATATATGGAAATTAAAAGCAAAAAAGGAATTTTAAATAATATGGCAAGTATGAGAAAATGTAAACAATAAAGTAAATATAGAAACATGTCAAAATAATTAAGGAAATATAGAATAATGATTCTTTTTTTTTTGAAAAAAAATTTTAGTCAAAATCTATATATTAATAACTCTATAAATTAATAAAATATCAAAGTCCCGACATTATTAATTTATAGAGTTTCTACTGTATCTTAGTTTTGGATTTGGTTTGGCATTTTCTTGTATAGAATCAAAATAAGTTTTATTCTATCAAATCGGGCCCAATTCAAGAACCGATTTTTTTTTAAATGGTATATTGGTAATTAGTATCGGTCGTTTGTTATTACCAGAACCAAAGTAAAAGTCTCTCATAGATAGAAAACCAGCAAATAGTACAGTCTCCAAGTAGAATTTCCCGCCAGGCAAAGCTAGTCCTAAATTTCTAGGGGCTTATGTCGGATTCAATTCCAAATTGAAACACTCATGAATCAATCCAGTCTTGCAATCCCAACTCTCTCGCTCTCCTTAACCCCAATCCCCAAACACCCAATTCGTCAGCTCTCAGCTCCAATTCGTAGACAGAACTTCGCAAACCCTAGACTTCTCTTTCCCCTCCGGCTTAATGAGACGCCGGCTTGTCTCGCCGCGAAAAGGGTTTTCCGGGTTAGAGCTTCAGTCGACGGAGACGGAAAAACCGGGAATTGGGTGAACCGGTTACCGATTCCGGGACTCGGAGCCGAAAATGTCTTCAGATTGATTTCAAGCGCGACGGGAAGTCCAATTGGACAATTCATATCGTCCCCTGTGACCTTCCTGCATTCGGTTGATCCCAGGATCAAATTGGTAATTGAAATTCTTGTTTTTTTTTTCGGTTCAAACTTTATAATCGAATTTTGTGAGAAATCTCACAGTGAGTTTGAAATGTCTAAGCTTTCCTAGCAACTGGGTCTCTGTTTATCGGTTTGTAGATCAAAATTCAATCTCTTTTTCTCAATCTTATCAGCTCAACTATAGCTCGTTAGACGTTAGTTCACTCAAATATGATTAGTTTCTGATGAAGAAATGCGTTTTATTGATTGATTTATGAGGTTTAATGAAGCAAGTAGCTATGGATTTGTCTGACTTGTTCAAAGTTTAGATATTTGTTACCGTAGTTCTTGTTTGTCGATTTGGTGTTTAAAGTGAGGACTGTAAATCTTACTGTAATACAATATTCCTCGTTTTCTTCTGAATCTCTTAGAAAGACAGATTCTTGTTTCCTTTGGCTATGCTGAGTTTGGGATTTGGATATGTGCAGGTATGGCTATTAACTCTAGTGATACTTCCAGCAAGAGCAAATATAGCTGTGCGTTTAGGACTTGTTCTTTGTACAGCTCTCTTGTCAATCTCTGTTCTCCCTAGACAAGTGTGGATGGTTAGTTCTTTTTTCTACCTATATGATATTGTTATCTTATTCTTCCATTTGTGCTTTTGGCTTCTGACATTGCAATGTTGGAATGAATAGTTTAGGTAGATGTAACATGTAAAATTGTCCTGTATAATGCAGTTCCTGAGTTAGTTGATGCTCTTAGTTTATGTTTTTGTGATCTATCTTCTTTGCTGAGTTTTTTTTTTTTTTTTTTTTTTTTGTCTTTCATGTAAGGATCAATTGGCGAGAGTGTCGCTTCTTTCGGGGATCCTCTTCATAACCTTGGGGTTAGGATCAGACGGTGCACCGCCGATGCTTCAATCAAGAACACCACCATCAGCAATCACAAGCTTGCCTGATCTTCCCATGTCCTTGAGCGGTTATTCGTACATGTTACTAAAGCTTGGTCCTTTGCAATTCACAAGGAAAGGTTTGTCTGTTGGAAGCACAGCTGCTTGCTTAACCTTCATTGTAAGTCTCTTTTCTCTCCAAATTTTTGTATCCTTTTTCTTATCAAATCACCGAATGAAACATTTTGTTTTTTTTTTCATCACAGATTTTCCAAAGTGCTAGTCTTTGTCTTGCAACCACAACACCAGAACAACTTGCTCTAGCTCTGAGATGGTTCTTGTTCCCGTTGACATACATCGGTGTTCCAGTCGGTGAAATCATTCTCACACTCCTGCTTTCACTCAGATTTATCAATTTAGTTTTCGATGAGGTGATGATTTTTTTCACTTTTTCTTTCTTCATATACATCTCCTGGCTACTCGTTCCTTATAGGTATGTTGTGTACGTGTTACATTGTTAGGTCAGAAGCGTTGCGCTTGGAATTGTATCCCGGAGAGTAAACTGGAAGCAGCTTACTGTTCTTGAGACACTTGATAGTAAGAAAATCAATCTTAAGTTTCTTCTCTCTTTTTTTTTCTTGAAACTGAAACTGTTTTTTTCTTTCAGACACTTACAAGTAACTTTTCGTTTGTAGTTTTTGCTTCTTTCATTCGCCGGATCTTCAAGAACATATTTCGCCATGCAGAGCAAATCTCGCAGGTCAAATAGATTTCTGTTACCCTTTCTCATTATTTATCTCCAAGTGTTTGTTTTTGTGTGGTGAAGAGAAAATCTGAGAGAAGCTCTTTCATTATTTGAAACTCTCTGTTAAAGTTATTTATTTATCTGAAATATGTGCAGGCGATGATTGTCAGAGGCTTCAGAGGAGATAGCAGTAGCCACAAGATCTACTTCTTCTCGGGGACATCTAATAAGTTTGCAGATTTTGCATCAGTTTTGTGTTTAATCGGTGTAATCTCAACCGCACTCTTGTCTGAATACATATTTGTCTAATAAACACTTGCTTTATTTTCTTGAGATAAAACAAAAGAAAAAGAAAATAACAAGAAGTAAAAATAAATCTATTTTCTCAAACTCGAAAAATCTAAAATCCGACAAAACCCAAAGCGAACAAAACTTAAATTTGTGTCTGTGAAGTGTGAACTGTGAAGCCTTTTGGAAATCCAACTTGAAAAACTAAAAACGGACAGACAAACAAAAATTAGTTTCGTCCGAAAAACAAAACTAAATTAAACAGCAACAAAAAAAATAGAAAAAACAAAAAAAGGTTAAGAAAGTTGGATGCTTCGTTACGAGAAAACGAAGGACTGACAGAGAAGCCATTTTCGTCATCTCTCTTTCTTCTTCTATTTATTCCATTTTCTCATTTCAATCAAAATAAATAAATAAATAAATCAACGAATTAGAGATCCGTAGATTTAACTAATTATTATTAGTACAAAAAAAAACACCTGAGCAGGAACAGAAGAAAAGGACCATTTTACCCTTTTCTTCTTCCTCCTCCTCAACGATTTCTTGTTCTTTTTTGGCCCCCAGAAGAAATCTCCGATGGGAACTGAAATAATCCGGCCTCAAAATTGTTTGGTTGACCGGATTAGAGATCCTCCGGCAACAATTTTCCACCCCCGGAGAAATCATATTCACCGGAGGCCGCCGCTCCGACCTGATCAGAGGAGACGATTCGGCTCCGATGATTTCAGAACGACGGCGAAGGAATTCGTTAGGAGAAGAGGAGAGTCATTCGATTCGTATTCAAACATCAAATCTCGGAGATCTTCTGGGAAAAATCTATCTGATATTTCTGACGACGATATTTACGCCGGATCTTCAACTTTCGTTCTTTCTCCGGCGCCGAGCTCGCTTCCTTTGCCGTCGTTCTCGAGGAGGAATGCGAAAAGCCAGGTCATTGTTGTTACCGTGGATGATTCGGCGTCTCAGGATCTCCGGCGACTTCTCCGGCTGGAATTTTGAAGAAATCGGATAAACGGATAGTCAGCTATTTTAACGGTTCATATTTTAATCTCCGTTACTGTTTATTAATCTGTCCTTCCTCTAATTTTTTTTTGTTCAGAAAGGGATGGGTCTGACAGATCGTATAAAAAGTATGGGGTCCGATTTAGAAACAAATGTTAAATAGTAGCTGACTTTTCAGTTCTTCTTGTAATGTAAAGATTCGAAAAAATGAAAATTCTTTGGGGTCCAAATGTTAATTAATTAAGAAATCCGGGATACAATAATTATTAGTTTAGAGCCAAAATAATACTACTGTACCGAACCAGTAAATGTCTATATTTATTTACATACAAAACTCTGATCACTAGTTTTCAGTAACAGTTATATTGACATAACAACCAATATTTTGACATTATTTACAAATGACTTTAGATTGAAAATTAACTCTCTTTTTTGCAGAATGTTGCATGACTTAATTTTCCATCTAGTGGTTAGATATCGTGTTATAAATCATGCCGTTAGACACTAAAAAACAGTTTTATATGATTGGAAAACCCGTTTTACGGTTTGTTATATACTTTAAGAATAGGATTAAGAAACTTTCTTGTAATCGAAACATAAAATGGTAGAGATTGTTCTCTTCAGACGTACATGTAAATAAATTCACGTGAGATGTTGGTTGGAGCATACACATGTCAACCATATTCTCTAAATCGATTGTGACGTCATATCTTCCAAGTTACCTACCACATATTTTTTGGCCACACATCTTACTTACCACCACTTCCATTTTGGATATATCTACCATTTATGATTTGATTTCGACCGTTTCGTCTACCAATAGGGTAACCAACCTTTTCCAGGCAATAATTGAAAAATACCGCAATGGTACAGAATAAACCACGACAGTAGCTAGAATCAATAGTATGGTTTAGCTTATTGGGGGCACATTACGTTGCGCTGTAACCAACGAGTTTGGTAATGATTTGCTTTGGTGCTCTAGCATTTAATGTAGCTCACATTTCGATAGATATCTATAGCGTTTTAATACTCCATATTCTGGGTAAATTTACTGATATACGACGAGGATTTGGAATTAAGAGAAAGAAGATTACTATTGGTGGACATTAAATCCCAGATCGCAAGTTTCAAAAATCTCTGTGAAATTTAATTTTTTTTTTTTTCATAATTTACAACAATGCCACTGAGCTCTGTTTCTATGTTTGCAGAGTCTATCTAACCAACCACCTATCACCTTACACAAACGTATATTTAATTAAGCTTCCAAAGTACGAATCAAATTATAGGACATATCACCTTAAGCTCTTACTAGACAAAAATAGAAGTTAAGCCTTGACTTTGCTTACTAGACATTTTTGTATGTCGGCTAAATCATTAGTGTCGACTATTAATAGTGTTTAACAGTACTAAACTTTATATATTTCTTATTATTTCCATGGTACAGATATATAACCACAGTACCGGATAAATTAAATAAAAAATAATTGATACTAACATTCTTCGAGAAGGACACCGGCTCTCACAGTCTCACTAGACCCATACCAAAAAGAAAGAACAAAATGAACAGAGAACGAAATGGAATACATACAAACGCAATTATGGATTTCCAAGAAACAATTAACCGAAAAAACAAAACACATTGATGACTTTTATTACAGAAATTCTTGAAATAATATTCAAGACAAGACATGATTAAGACTTCCGTTTTGTTTCGCCAATCCTCCGTTCTGTTTCTCCAAACCTCCGTTTTGTTTTCCCACACGTTTGGCACCTAACTTCTCCACAAACTCTTCAATATTCCGATCCGACGAGCCACCGCGAGCAACCGCCGCCTCCGCCTCCTCTTTCCACTTCAAAGCGTTCTTCTTCAGCTCCGTCGCTTTCTCTCCTTTCGTAATCTCTCTCAGCCTCTCCGCCACTTCCTCCCTTGGCACCACCCTCTCCTCAGTCTCTCCACGGCAGAGTCTCACTCCCGTCTTCAAAACATCGATCATGTAAACCGCGTCGGTGACTTGATCTCCCCACTGAGGACAACAAACCGTCGGGACTCCGGAAGACACAGCCTCCATCGTCGAGTTCCATCCACAATGAGTCACGAAACAAACTATGGAAGGATGAGCCAAGACTTTCTCTTGCGAACACCATTCAACGATTTTCCCTTTCCCTTTGACTTCTTCAGGCAAAACATGTCTCTCTTTGTTCACACCCAATTCTTGCGTCCTAATCACCCACAAGAACGAAACGCCGGCGTTTAACACTCCGTAAGCGATCTCATTGATCTGTTCTTGCTTCAAGTAAGCGACGGTCCCGAATGAGATGTAAACAACGGAGGAAACAGGCTGCGAGTCTAGCCACTCCATGCAATGGTCCGTTGACTCAGACATGTCTCCGTTGATCTCATCACTAGCTAACGTTTTCGCCATTTTGTAAAGCGGTCCGATCGGTCTGATAACGCCGGGGAGACGGACATCAGACATGTGGTCGATGATGTCTTGCTCCAAGGAGTGGATAGTGTCGATGAGGACAGCGAAAGGCTTGTGAAGCCGTTTGATCTGGTCAATGATCACTTCACGCAAAGCGGAGTAAGGAGATGAAGGGTGAATGAAAGAAGGGATCTCGTCGTGTTTCAAGAGAGGCATGCCAGGGATTTGGACATCGATCTTGGGATCTGTTTTGGTCGGGAAATCAACGAGCTTGTGGTGGTAATAGTAGTAAGAGGCTAAGCAAGCGCAAGACTGGACCCAGAGAACAGCACAAGGGATTTGGAGATCTTCAGCCACGTCACAAACCCAAGAGACGAAAGGGTTGTTGATTAGACACGTGACGGGCTGTTTTGTCACTTCCTCGTAACGTCTCACGAGGCTTTTGATCTCTCTTTGTCCGACCAGCTCGAGTTGTGGTCGGAGGATGGTGAAGTCGGTTCTGCTAGCGTCGTCGTCTTCCGGGAGCCCATCGTCGAAGAAATCAAACCGGATGTAGCCTTTGCCGATCGGCTTGAGGACGCGGTCTTGGATGTTGTTGGCGGTTCGCATCTTTTTGCCCCATGACTCTGTGGTGACGAAAGTTACGAGTAAACCCTTTGAAGCTAAGAGCTTACCGAGACGAAGAAGTGGATTAACGTGGCCTTGACCTGGGAAAGATACGAGCATCACATGAGGAGGTAGAGGAAAAGAGTTTTGATCCATCTTCAATACAAGAAAGAAAAGACTTTGGTTTCTTTTTTCTTTGTGTTCTGTTTTTGTTTTTCTTCTTTCTAGTGACTATGTGACTTGTGACATGTTAGAAGACACGAGCGATGTATGGCCTTAAATACAAGACAAGAAGGTGAATAATTTAAGGCTCTCTCATTCTCCACCGTCAGTTTTTGGCCAATGTATTATTCAATGCATGAAGCTCTTAAAAGTGATTAGATTCAGTGGGTGACGTGGATTTATAACGTCTCACTCGTTTGTTTTCAAATTTATTTACATATAAAGAATATATTTCAAATTTATTTACATATAAAGAATATATATACATTTTGAAAAGTAAAGAAGAGATATTTTCTTTTGTTATAAGCCAAAGAAGAGTGGTCATAATCTCATAGTTAGAACTTGCAACGTTACCTCCGTATTTTCCATGTGCTTTTATGGAATATTCGATTCTTTGTTCTTTTGTATGTGTGACCTTCCCATTTTGGTCCAAGAGATTCATGATTTTTTTTTATGGGTGCAAATGTGAAAAGAGATTCAAGTTTCATCCTACCACCACAAATTGTTTTTTTTGTTACAATCATATAAAATAATAAAAATATCCAAACTTGAACTATGTCAACATATTTCTTAGAGCTCTATTTCTTAACTTCCGAGTTCCGACATCATATAATGCCATTTTTCTTTTCAATATCATCTAGAAGTTAAGTACATGTTGTCAATTAATCAAGAGCATATTTTCAGATTTGAGAAACAGTAAAATCGGTAATAATGCGTATCAAACCAGGGAAGGGAACCACCATTCAACAAAATGTTAGTATCGTGTTCAAATTAAAGTCTTGCAACACCCAAAATAAATATCTACTTCTAACCGGTGGAAGTGAAACAATGACCCTAGTTGTATAATGGACTTATTTATCAAACAAGAAAGGAAGTAACAAAAAGCTAAAAACAGCGAGACGCGTTTAAACACCTCTTTCACACTCTTAACACTATTTTGTTGTTTGAGATATTAGGTAGAATCATTGACAATCTCTACTACCGTTAATTAAAAGCCGACGTGTTACTTTTCCGTTGGTTAGCTAATAAGAGGCCGAGTTTCATTAACCATAAAGCTATTAATGAGTTTTTTTTGTTTTCAGGCTTCAGGACTAAATTTTTTATCGTCACATGCATCATCATCCCTGTAGTCTTCTTTTACAAGTGTAATAAGTGTGATATTATGTACATGTCATGGATCCAGATTCGGCCTAAAGCATAAGCAAATATAGTAAAACGAAAACTAATTAAAATGGTACAGAATATGGTTGATTATAGCGACCCATCATCGTTATTAACACTTAAAAAGTATTGAACCGATGTTTTCTTTTGGATAAGAGTATATTGGTCCGTAAATTTAGGTCGTGCTGCAATCCACTTTAAATATGATTTTGATGGGAAATTTAATTCGGAAAATCAACCACGAAGAACAAACTTAAATGTGTACAAGTACGGATAAGAGTGGGTGTATTTATTTAATTTTCTTGAATATTTCTGGTTTCTGAACATTTTTTTTCCGGATGACGAAAGAGAATCGCGTGTCGTTCACTAGACTCACAACCGACGACTGAGTCCGGAGACAAAACGACATGGTTGAAAAGTCACAGATGTCAAAAACAGCCCGAATATGATGTAACGTGGGCACTCATTCCTTGCCACACAAATCTAGTTTCCCCTTTTTACTTGCATCCTGACACTACCTGGATTATGCCCGAGTAGATTACACAATAAGAGGGTAATAATTTTCTTTAAAAATATATCCATGTTAAATTAGCTTCTCTTCCAAGATCTTAACGTATTCCTTGAGATGATATTTTTTAGGTTATTTATTTCAAATATATTTTTCATCATATTTTTTGATCGGTTATGGCCTAGTTCAGTTTACAGTATTCCGATAACATACAAAAATATACACGTTTCTAATTTTTTTTTAAAAATTGACAACAAACAGAAAAACTTATACACTATCCTTTATATAACAATTAAACACCTCTAGTTTCAATATAGGATACTTTAAAATGTAGCTTTCCTTTTAAACCGTTTGGTATCAAAACATGAACAATTGCTCCATGTGGATCACAAGCGTTAGCTAGAGATTATTTGTTCACATTATTTTGTTTGTTTTCCTTTGAATTTGTAGTTTTTCATAAAGAAATACGAACATTGGCTAGGCCTGATCAATAATACGACACAAGAGCGAAACAAACATCAGTCACGGGTAGGAAAGTTTTCATGTGTACTGAACGTCCCATGATTTATCATCTACGTTCAAGTCCGAATCATTTAGCGGAACAGAGCTTAGAACTCGATGCAAAAAAGAATGATTGTCGTCGTTTTTGTGTGGCATGGCCTCCTTTAATGGTGTCAAAACAACTCAGCCAACCCAATCCAATCTAATCCATAACACTAATGGGTGAAGAGTTTATGGATGATGGCCCTCATTGGATTAAATTTCATTTCATTTATTTTGTAGATATGATTGATCCAAACAACTGTATAATAAATCACTTGAATTAAGTGTTCGAAACAACATTTGAGTACTTAATTAATCAGTTTAATTAAGTGTTAGAGTTAAGTGATCTTTATTACTATGGTTTTTCTAAGCAAACTATTCGACTATTATTCCATCCGAAAGCAAGACTGAATCCACTAGACGCGGTTAAACGAATTGACGTACATTTGTGCATCAAAGAAAATAGTTAGAGATCATGTACCAAATCTTAAATAAAACTATAGAAAATCGGATATTTACTTTTTTTTGTTTTGAAAAAAATATTTACTATTTTTATTGAACGAAAACCGTAATAATTTTTCGTAAATGATAGAACTCATAATAAAATAAAATAAAATTATATATATATATATATTATTTTATAACTTTTTTTTTAATAGAAACTTCTCATAATTTTAGTGCTTCTATATGCTTTTGGCCTTTCATATTTTGTCTTCTAGTTTTTGGATAGCTACAATTCCATCCTTCATGTCGGTTAATATGCAACTCTGATCCATCACCTGTGAGATTTTCATTTAGTTCATTTTATTTCATTTTCAATTAGATAAAGGCAGTTATATTATGTTGTTTTGTCGTTGTTGTAAATTTCTAATTTCAATTTAGTAGTTTCTTCACCTTTTTCATTTTGTATACATATCGTTAATTCTCTCGGTAGTGAGAATAATTAAATATCAAAAATTTGAAAATCAACATCATCATATTTGATCAAATTATTAAATTTTCATTATATATAACTCAAAATAAGCTAAAAACAAACAAAAAGAAATCTATTTATGTTCTGGTCTAAAACCAAACCTTTTGTTCGTGTAATAACCATACCTTTTGTCCCACACACACACACACATACTCAACACGTATTGGACCAACCATATTCTTCAACGACATATGACGATATGCGTGACATCAAACGGAGCAACACAATGACACCAATACTTTATGTATCTAAACGGGACACTCTAAATACAAAGGGGAATCTAACGAATCTAATCGTTAAAGACACGTTTTCTATCCGAAGATACTAAAAAGGGCAACAAAAGCAAACCCCAAAAGCAAAAAATTAATCATCATTAAAAACCTCCCCCAACTTTTTGAAAGAGTATAAGCAACACCAAACCCATTTTTACGTAGAAGCAATCTCTCTCGCTCTTTCATCCTATAAACACTCGAGAACACACAATACTTTCATATCAGAAAATATTCAAGAATACCATAACCGACAGCTTAAACCTAATTTACAAGAGCATTATCCAAAATGTCGAAAACATTCAAAGCCATAAGAGACCGGACATATACAGGCGTAGGTGACCTCATCAGGCTCCTCCCAACAGGAACCGTCTTCTTGTTCCAGTTCTTAAACCCTGTCCTAACCAACAACGGACATTGCCTCCTCATCAATAAATACTTCACTGGAGCTCTCATCGTTATCTGCGCTTTCTCTTGTTGCTTCACTTGCTTCACCGATAGCTACCGAACAAGGGACGGTTACGTTCACTATGGAGTCGCTACCGTGAAGGGTCTCTGGCCTGATTCGTCTTCGAAGGATTTGTCTTCGTATCGGCTGAGAGTTGGAGATTTCGTTCACGCTTTCTTCTCTCTTATCGTTTTCAGTGTTATCTCCTTGTTGGATGCAAACACTGTTAACTGTTTCTATCCTGGTTTTGGCTCCACTGGGAAGATCTTTCTCATGGTTTTGCCTCCGGTGATCGGAGTTATCTCCGGCGTTGTCTTCACGGTGTTCCCTAGTAGACGTCATGGAATTGGGAATCCCTCGGAGAACAATGACGACAATGCGTCCGAGATAGAGAAATGATCATATGATTTCCACTATACATAATTTGTGTGCATAAAGTGAAACTGCATGTGATTTACTCGTGAAAGGTAAAATATTCAGGTTGTATAAGTTATGCATGCATGAATGATCATTGTAATTGTTTTTTATTTTTGTGATTTACTATTATTTATGTTGGTGAGTGCTGATCATGTGTGTGTTCTGTTGTTTATTTTTCCACATCTTTGTTGATAAACTCAAAAGTAATAAAATTAAAATATAATTTACTGTGTTAATCTTTTTATTGATATTATAATAACAATTAAAGAATTAATAATTTCTCATAATTAATAACAATGAAAGAAGAAAACTACAACTTGTTATTATTGAAAACATAAAACATCAGTTGAAACGAAAAACATTATTTGGCCTAACACATCTTTTAATACCTAGGAAACATTCTTTTATTTTGAAAGGAATTAACTAGGAACAAAGATTGTGGATGTTAGGAAGATAAGTCCATATGATATAGAACAACTTGATACCGTTTCTTCCTTATATTTTTAAGCTTTTACAAGTCTAGAGCTAGCAGAAAAATCAGTAATAACTCACGAAGTCCAAGCTAAGGGAGATATGGGTCACAGTAAGTAACACGTCATAACGATGGGAAAAAAAGAAAGAAACAATAAGCAGAAATAATTAGAAGATGCCCATGAAGCCCATGCCTATCCTTTGTAACATCTTTACCTAAGGGAATGTAACATTGATGATGACTAACCCAATCAAATTAACGTGAAGATCAATATAACCAAAAATCATTCATCATAAGTACCACTAAAGTTCGATTGCTCAGAAAATATACTGTATTAACATGTTTGGTCAGAGAGACGCAGTAAAGAAAGTTATATTTGTTCAATAAGATCATTTGCTCTCTTCTCAAATAAAATGTGATGTAAATCGATTCTGCTTCTAGGAGTTAGTTTTGCAGGGTGGAAAGGAAGAGCTTGGAACACAAGGAGGAGAGTCTCAACAGCCTCAAATTGATCCTATTATCGAACAAGGTCCTGCTCAAATTTCGGGATCTTGGATTCCCGGTTTAAATTGATCTTCAGAAATCAAATTTCGACACAGTGTAACCTTTAGAAACTGTTTTACAGAGGAACGAAGAATTATATCCATGCTATATTCTCTATTAATAATTTTGACAAATGTGGCGGTTACATCAAATTTCTTAAATTTCCTTTTTATTTTTAAAGTCTATATATTGAGAATTACTGAAGCTTGTTCCCGAAATCGAGGGAAGAAAACTAATCACTTCTCTTAACAATTGGTGACAATTCGAGCTCGCGACAGTCAACAATGGCGGATTTCGAGAGCGCTTTAGCCGAGGTGAAAGGAATCTTGTCGGAGATCAACAGCAGCTACAACAGCAGCTGGGATCGTTTGACGAAGGCGATTGCGGAGATCACTGGTCGCTTGGATACGATGGATCGGCGATTTGAATCGATGGAAAGCAATATGAATCGGATGACAGAGATTCTAGCTCGCATCGAAGCTAATCAGTTATCCGGGAAAGCAAGTGAGAGACGAGTGACGATGGAGTTATTCAGAGATCTTCCAAAGGAATTGGTAGAGGAGGAGATACTGACTCGTGTCCCGGCTAAGTATCTGAAAGGATTGGGAACTACTTGTAAACGATGGAACCGTTTGTTTACCGGTGACCGGAGATTCGCGAGGAACCACAGTGACAAAGCCGCGAAGCAGTTTCTGGGTCTCATGTCGACGAGGGCCTTCAGGATTTGTCCGATAATCGTCGATCGCGACGGAAAGGTTCCAACTTTCGAGGTAAATACTGAGCTTAGCCTAGTCGATCCGCATTCTAAGTATCCCGGAGCTCAATTCAATGTAGGCGCGATTTTTCACTGTGACGGCCTCTTGTTGTGCACCTCCGTGGACGAGTCTAGATTCGTGGTTTGGAACCCTTTTACTGGTGAGACCAGGTGGTTCCAACCCAGCTATCGTCGCCCGAGCGGCCGCCGCTTTGCCCTCGGATACGGCCAAAATCAGAGCTACAAAATCTTGAGCTATTATGATGAGAAAGATATTGAAATCTACGAGTTTAGCTCTGATTCGTGGAGGGTTGTTGATGATGTCATGCCTCGAGGCTGTAGGCTTAATTACTCCGATCCAAGCGTGTCGTTGAAGGGAAGTACTTACTTGTTCGGTTACGATAGGGATGAAACAAGAACGCAATCCAGTGTGTCCTTGGTCAAATTTGATTTCTCAACAGAGAAATGTGTGCTTGTGCCTCTTCCCTATCAGTGTAATCGTTTTGAAGCTGCGTGTGTTTCCGTTGTTAAAGAAGAGAGACTTTCGGTCTTGTTACAGCTCGAAGATACATCCAAGACTGAGATATGGGTGTCAAATAAGATTGATGAGACCACCACCCAAGTGGTGTCGTGGAGCAAGGTCTTATCGTTGGACCTGAGCCCTGATCTTCAACTTTCGGAGCAGGGAACGTTCTTGCTCGACGAGGAGAAGAAGGCCGTTGTGATTTCCATCAACTGGATAGACTTTGGAGACGAGGTAGCGGCAGGGACCAGGAGCAAAGAGATGATATACATTGTTGGGGAGGACAGTGAAGTCACACAAGTGGATTTTGGAATGGAGAGAACGCCTCCATGTCATGTAGGTGTCCTAAATTATGTTCCGAGTTTGGCTCAAATGGAGCAAGCTGGAGGCAAAAGGAAAAGAGCTGACTTCCGAGTTTAGTGTATTTGCAGCTTGAGTTGTTGTTAGTTGTCTTGTTCACCTCTCTCTTTAGATTCAGTGTGTTCCTGAGAGACTAGATAGTAAAATGGAACTTGTCTGGTTTTATACGTTTTGTTTTCTTCATTTTCTCCTATATGGAAATGCTTAAAGGCTTTCTCTGTTTCTGCATCAAGATTGGAGACCATTAGACACTAGTTGCGCTAGTCTTGTCTCCAACACTCCCATTACAATGAATGTAACCTGTTATTAGAGTGTTAGTTTAGAAGAGGTATGAAGAAATTTAAATTAATCAGTTTGTCACAAAGCAGTGTTTGATGATACTCTAAGCAGTTTGCTGAAAGGTCTGTAATCATCATCGTCTTAGTCCTTTGTATCTTATCAACTAATTGTGACACATGAAAATCAATCATTTTAAAACATCAAATGTTATGAAACACTGTATAAGATTATTTGTTAAATTTCCTCATTTTTTTTCACCAGTCTATATATTATGAAAGACGCATACGTTGCCATTGGGAAGATTGATTGCCTCTGGAATCGTTAGCTATGATGGAGATAAAGGGGTGAAACACCGAAGAATCATCAATCCTGCTTTCCATCTTGACAAGATCAAGGTCTTGACTTTCTCTTTTTCCATAGCTTAGATTGGTATGTGTATCGTTTTGGCCGACTTCTTGCTTCTACGTGTATAGATTATGGGACCAGCTTTCAACCAAAGCTGCAGCGAGGTTGTTGGCGAATGGGACAAGTTAGTGTCTGGTCATAAAGGGTCGTCGTCGTCGTCATGTGAGGTTGACGTTTGGCCTTGGCTTGTGAGTATGACTGGAGATGTGATCTCTCCTACTGCTTTTGGCAGCAGCTACAAAGAAGGACAGAGGATATTCGAGCTCCAAGCAGAGCTAGCAAAGCTCATCATTCAAGCTTTTCGTAAAGCTTTCATCCCTGGATACAAGACGTTTAGAGATTGATTCTTGATCTTTCCGTGTGTTTAGCTATCTTCCAACGAAGGCTAACAGAAGGATGAAAGCAGCAGCGAGAGAAATCGAAGTGATACTGAGAGGGATCATTAACAAAAAGGTTAAGAGCGAAGAGAAGCGACGATTTGCTTGGTATACTTCTTGAATCGAATATGGCGCAAGAAGCTAAAGGGAATGGAATGAGCATTAAGGAAGTGATGGAAGAGTGCAAGTTGTTCTATTTCGCTGGTCAGGAGACAACTTCCTTACTTTTAGTATGGACAATGGTTCTGTTAAGCCAACACCAAGAATGGCAAGCTCGTGCAAGAGAAGAAGTAAAGCAAGTTTTTTGTGACAATTCAGAAGGACTCAACCAACTCAAAGTTGTAAGTATATAAACCAAAATTGTCATATACCTTTGAGCATTTTATTGTTGTGTGTTTAATGATTGATCCTTTCACAGATTACGATGATATTGTACGAGGTCCTCAGGCTATATCCACCATTAGCTCAGGTGACTCGAGCCGTTCACAAAGAGACGAAGATAGGTGACTTGACATTACCAGGAGGTGTTCAGATCAGTCTACCGATTCTGCTAGTGCAACGTGACACCGAGCTATGGGGAAACGATGCAGCGGAGTTCAAGCCGGAGAGGTGTTCAAAGACGGTCTCTCGAAGGCGACCAAGAGCCAAGTCTCTTTCTTTCCGTTTGCGTGGGGGCCAAGGATCTGCATTGGACAGAACTTTGCTTTGATGGAGGCAAAGATGGCAATGGCATTGATTCTACAGAGATTCTCTTTCGAGCTATCTCCGTCTTTATGTTCATGCGCCTTACACAGTCATCACAATTCACCCTCAGTTTGGAGCTCCTCTTGTTCTGCACAAGCTCTAGTTCCTGTACACAGATGAACCGAGTCCTGATCATAATACAAAAAAATGTAAAATTCTTGTTATGTATACACAAAGTTTTATGAATTCGGTTCCGTTCGGAACATATTATTACCCTCAGAACCAAACTGAGTAAACTGAATTCCAAACCGAACTGATTTTTTTGTTGAATAAGATTTTGGATTGTTATGTTGTGTTGAGTTCTTTCTTCTTTTGTCTATTGATGATAGGATCAGTTAAGCTCAAATACTCCAAGTAGTTTGATTTACGTCCATGACTACAATAATGGAGCTTAATTAACTTAGTTAATTGGTTCGATCATTTATCGAATTTTAGTGTAGCTTATAACAATATATCCTTATTTGGTACTAGTTTAAAAACCATAAAACAAAATTTTAGATGATTTTCTTTGTATTTACAAATAAGTTGAGGATCGGTTTATATATAGGCCTAATTTTAAGAAGAAAAACTTTCATACGAAAATTCTCCGGGAAAGCTGAGAGACGAGTGGCGATGGAGTTATTCAGAGATCTTCCAAAGGAATTGGTAGAGGAGGAGATACTGACTCGTGTCCCGGCTACGTATCTGAAAGGATTGGGATCTACTTGTAAACTGTGGAACCGTTTGTTTAACGGTGACCGGAGATTCGCGAGGAACCACAGTGACAAAGCCGCGAAGCAGTTTCTGGGTCTCATCTCGACGAGGGCCTTCAGGATTTGTCCGATAATCGTCGATCTCGACGGAAAGGTTCCAACTTTCGAGGTAAAAACAGAGCTTAGCCTAGTGGATCCGCATTCTAAGTATCCCGGAGCTCAATTCAATGTGGGCGCGATCTTTCACTGTGACGGCCTCTTGTTATGCACCTCCGTGGACGAGTCTAGATTCGTGGTTTGGAACCCGTTAACCGGTGAAACCAGGTGGTTCCAACCCAGCTGTCGTGGCACGAGAGGCCGCGGCTTTGCCCTCGGATACGGCGAGAACAAAACCTACAAAATCTTGAGCTATTATAATGAGAAAGATTTTGAAGTCTACGAGTTCAGCTCTGATTCGTGGAGGGTTGTTGATGATATCATGCCTCCAGGCTGGACCCTTGATTACTCCGATGCAAGCGTGTCTTTGAAGGGAAGTACTTACTTGTTCGGTTACGGTAAAGACGAATCAAAAACGCAATCCATCGAGTCCTTGGTCAAATTTGATTTCTCAACAGAGAAATGTGTGCTTGTGCCGCTTCCCTATCAGTGTAAAGATAGACTTTTTCAAGCTGCTTGTGTTTCCGTTGTTAAAGACGAGAAGCTCTCGGTCTTGTTACAGATCGAAGATACATCCAAGACTGAGATATGGGTGTCAAATAAGGTTGATGAGACTGAGACCACCCAAGTGGTGTCATGGAACAAGGTCTTATCATTGGACCTGAGCCCTGATCTTCAACTTTGTGAGGATGCAAAGTTCTTGCTCGACGAGGAGAAGAAGGCCGTCGTGATTTCTATGAATTGGATGGACTATGAAGACCAGGTAGCGGCAGGGACCAGGAGCAAAGAGATGATATACATTGTTGGGGAGGACAGTGAAGTCACACAAGTGGATTTTGGAATGGAGAGAACGTCTCCATGTCTGGTAGGTATCCTAAATTATGTTCCGAGTTTGGTTCAAATGGAGCAAGCTGGAGGCAAAAGGAAAAGATGGACCTTTGATATGTAATCTCATTTCTTCTTCTTGTCTTTCTCTTTATGTACCTTTGGAGCATCTCTGATCTGATATTTTATCATATGTTTCAACTTACTACCACTATGGTAAACCAGCATTATTGACGTCAACAGATGCTTCCGAATCTTGCTAAATAGTCTATCTGGATAATTACTTAAACATACTGCACACAAATTATAAAGTTACAAACAACAATCCTATATTTTATACTAATGATCCAAACAACAATCAAAGAATTGTTATCATCTTCACCCAAGGGAATGTAGCATTGATGATGACTAATCCATCAAATTTATGTGCAGATCAATGTAACCAAAAATCATTCATCGTAAGCACCACTAAAATTTGATTGGTGAGAGAATATACTGTGTTAACTTGTTTGGTCAGAGAGAGAGTAAAAAAAAGTTATATTTCTTCAATAAGATCATTTGCTCTCTTCTCAACTAAAATGTGATGTAAATTGATTCCGCTTCTGGGAGTTAGTTTTGCAGGGTGGGAAGGAAGAGATTGGAACACAAGGAGGAGAGTCTCAACAGCCTCAAATTGATCCTAAAAGAATCAAGTTCTAAGCTTCATCAACATCGTTTTCTTCATCTCCTTTTTCAGTTTTCATTTTTGTTGCTGTGTAGTAATATTTATTCAACAAAAACTCATTACAGTGAGTGAATGTAACCTGTTATTACAGTGTTAGTTTAGAAACTGTTTAGAAGAGGTTATGAAGAAATTTAAATTAATCAGTTTGTCACAGAGCAGTGTTTGATGATACTCTAAGCAGTTTGCTGAAAGGTCTGTAATCATCCTCATAGTCTTTTGTATCTTTATCAACTAATTGCGAGTCTGTGACACATGAAAATCAATCATTTTAAAACATCAAATCTTATGAAATACTGTATAAATTTGTTAAATTTGTTAAATTTCCTCATTTTTTTCACCAGTCTATATATTAGAGATTTGGTGAAGAAGACTGAAAAAGTACACAAACAATCCCTAAGAGACTAGAGAGAGACCGACCAGTGACGGACGAGACTGACGATGGAGATATTCAGAGCTCTTCCAGAGGAATTGGTAGAGGAGGAGATACTGACTCAAGTCCCGGCCACGTATCTGAAAGGATTGGGATCTACTTGTAAACGATGGAACCGTTTGTTTACCGGTGACCGGAGATTCGCAAGGAACCACACCGACAAAGCCGCGAAGCAGTTTCTGGGTCTCATGTTGACGAATGGCTTCAGGATTTGTCCGATAATCGATGGCGACGGACAGTTTTCATGTTTAGAGCTAAGAACAGAGCTTAGCATAGACGATCCGTATCCTAAGTATCCTGGAGCTCAATTCGATGTAGGCGCAGTCTTTCACTGTGACGGCTTCTTGTTATGCACCAACAAAGACCGATCAAGATTCGTGGTTTGGAACCCTTTTACTGGTTTCACCAGGTGGGTCCAACCCAGCTGTGGTGGCACGAGAGGCAGCGGCTTTGCCCTCGGATACTACGGCGAGAACAAGAGCTACAAAGTCTTGAGCTATCGTCATAGAAAGAATGATTTTGAAATCTACGAGTTCAGCTCTGACACGTGGAGGGTTGTTGGTGATGATGCCATGCCTCCAGGCTGGAGTATTGGATACTCGGCTGCAAACGTGTCTTTGAAGGGAAGTTGTTACTGGTTCGCTTCCGGTGTAGACGAGACAAAGACGCATTCCTTCCTGTCCTTGCTCAGGTTTGATTTCTCAACGGAGAAATGTGTGCCTGTGCCTCTTCCCTATGAGTGTAGAGACGTTCCTCAAGCTGCATGTGTTTCCGTTGTTAAAGACGAGAAGCTCTCGGTCTTGTTACAGCGCGAAAGAACATCCAAGACTGAGATATGGGTGTCAAATAAGATTGATGAGAATGGGACCACCCAGGTGGTGTCGTGGAGCAAGGTCTTATCATTGGACCTGAGCCCTGATCTTCAACTTTGTGAGATGGCATCGTTCTTGCTCGACGAGGAGAAGAAGGTCGTCGTGATTTATGTGAGTTGGATGGACGAGGAAGACGACCCCGACTTCAAGAGCAAAGAGTTGATATACATTGTTGAGGAGGACAGTGACGTCACAACATTGGATTTTGGAAGCGATGATCATCCTGGAGCTTTGGTAGGTGTCCTAAATTATGTTCCGAGTTTGGCTCAAATGGAGCAAGCTGGAGGCAAAAGGAAAAGAGCTGACTTCCGAGTTTAGTGTATTTGCAGCTTGAGTTGTTGTTAGTTGTCTTCTTCACCTCTCTCTTTAGATTCAGTGTGTTCCTGAGAGAGTAGATACTAAAATGGAAGTTGTCTGCTTTTATACGTTTTGTTTTCTTCATTTTCTCTCCTATATGGAAATGCTTAAAGGCTTTCTCTGTTTCTGCATCAAGATTGGAGACCATTACACAGCGTAAGGTTCATTTTCTTGCACAAGACAGCGTATATGTACTCTTCTTCTTGTTCACGATCCTCCTCTAGGTGGTGAATCGGTCCCACTCTTCTACTTTTACTGCTTAATCAGAGCGCTTTTTGCCTTCAATGTTTTAGCATCAAAAACAAAGTCAGTAGATCAATTACGATCATCCTTTTTATAGCACATTTGGAGTGAAGTTTAACTAAGATATTAAAAGCATGTCTGTGATGTAGTAGGATCAGTCGGATGGGATTTAATAAATTTCGCCATCTTCCTGCTTGACAAACCAAATGCACAAAGATAACATCTAGTCATATTCTTTGAAAGGCAAAACATAACTAGGAAAGGAAACCGGATTACAAGTTATCATAAATTTTCGTTAGAAGAAAGTCTTCTCAGCGCAAAAGGTCAACTATATAATTGCAATAATGGTAGATAAGCTAATAATTACCGTGTGAACTCAAAACTAAGCTGCATCATCAAAACGAATTGTTTTATTTTGGTCAATGGAATTGGTAACTAGATTTGATCACTGCCATTAATTTATTGCTAAGTCCTCTAATTGACCAACTTGTTACAGTTTACTTTTCTCTCTTCCCAGCTATATAATCATCTTCTCGCCATGGTTTCAATTATCAAAAGCATAATAGACTTACTTCCATTACATTTTCCCACGCATCAGAAAAGCCTGCGATGGAAACCGGGCCATCAAGATCAAACATCCTCCTATACGTTCTTGTCCTTGCCCTAGTCTTGTCTCCAACACTCCCATGTCAAGCAGCTAGTGTGCTTGTAGGAGGTAATCTAATTAATCACTGAGTTTTACAATCTTATATATCACTCTCTCTATTTTGATCGTGAAACTGATGTTTTTTCTATATGGAAAGGTGGAGGGCGCAAGCTTATGGCACCATCACCACCAGTTCGAATGTGTCCACAGTGTGTATGTTGCGCACCGGCTGCACCGGGTTATTGCTGCCCATGTCGTTGTCCCGAGGGTCCGTAAGAGACTGGATTTTGCTATCAGATGGGCTATATATATGAATAATGATGTATGCTCAAAATCTTTATATGCATGAATATAATAGGCAAACAAAATCTGTACTCTCTACGTTATAAATAAATAAAAAACTCGTTACTTTTTATTTGAAGATCTTTTTTGCAAAAAAAAACACATCATACAAGCTCAATTCAACCAAAGTACTCCCTCGTTGAGCTTATCTAATCAAATACTAAGAAATCATCGTACACAAAACCTGACGCATTGTAAGAGAAAAAAAAAATTACAAATGAAAATCAGTTATTCATAGATTTACACACAAGTAAATTAAAACCTAGCTAGGAATTGGAGAAACATAAAACTCTACACCACTGATCATGATAACCGAGTGAATAGATTTATATAGTAGTAAGGTTTTTCTCACACAAAAAAAAGTAGTAAGGTCTAGAATCAGAGAAAATTAATTACCACTTAATAGTAAAAGAGATCAAATCGGGTAATCATCCTCCCAAGGAACCGACTAAACAACAGTGTTTGTGTCAAACAAATGAAACAAAAACTAAGGGGATCACTTAGGTTTGGTGGAAAACAAAACGAGCTAGTTGATTAGTATTTTGGATTTTCTTGTGTGACAAGAAGTCAACTGTCTCGATTTGCAAGTAGATGCCATGCAACTTTGACGAGAATTCTACGGATAACTATAGTTATATGCAATATTATCCACTATCGTAAGAAAAACACGGTACGAGCCATATGACACGATAACATACATCAAGTTCAAGCCTTCAATTATTTTTTTTGCTATGAAGTTCAAGCCTTCAATTACTAAAGACGAAAAATATATAATAGCATATCCTACCTTTGAATTCAAACATCCTCTGTAAAAATAATTGATGATAGCCTCCAGATTTTCAAGAGTTGTAGAAGTTTTATGTGACGAAAGCCTTGAATACATTATCTGCAACAAAAGTCAAATTTTAGAATAAAACAACAACAGAAAATAGGAAAATTTGTAATAATTTTAGTTTCTCCCATCAATTTTTATCTCTCTTATAAACCAACATTCTATAAATACACACTATTTAGATGCAAGCATACAGAAACCAAAGGCATAAGCATAGCTAAAATGACTAATTGCTCTACGAAAAAACTCATTCTTATAATTTTCATCACAGCCATGGTTTTATCTCCAACAACATTTATCTCTTGTGTTGCAGGTAAGTAAAGATCAATTAAACGATTAACTAGCAAATGATCTATCAATCTTTATCATAGAGCGACTGAGTTACGTTATATTTTCTTATCGAAATTGTAGATGTTCATGCCACTCGAAGTCCAACCAAACCAGCAGGCAAGAACTCTAACAAACCTTATTACTAAATATACACAACAATCACAACGATCTTTTTGATTGTTTCAATTTGCTCTCAACGATCGTTTATTTTGCTTTGTAGACTCTCATATTACTGGAAGTGAAAGGATAAGGAGTCATAGAGTGGCATGTCCTGCTTGCCGCTGCTGCGAAGGCCAATCTCCTCCGCCAGGAACTTGTTGCCGTTGCTGTTAAGCTCAAGATCAATGTCCGATCATGATCTATTAGTGTCTACATAAAATTACAAATAAAAATCTATGGTTATGTGTTAGTAATCTTGCATTGAAATACATATAAATAATGACTCATTTCCGCATATTAAAAACATGAATTAGTTGGTTTTTGGGATGAACAAAAAGTATCAAATTCTGTTCAAACATGAATTACTTATCCAAATGAAAAAAAAAAACAAAAATTAGTGTTAAACATGTCATTAGGCATCCCATGAAACATTAGTGTGAATTCAATAGTTTTATTTAATTTTTCATAACTCGTTAGAGATAAATAAAATAACATATGGTAACATGAGTACACATGGTTCGACTGATAGTGACACAAATTGTCCAGAAACAGATATTTACAGATCCAACAAAAAGCATGAAAAATCAAACTACTGAAAATTAGAAACATTGACAAAAAATGGCGGAATCGTTGGTGGAAACTCGAATCCCACAGCAAAAGCTATACGAATCCAAACCTTTCCCGGCGGTAGTGATTTCGCCGTCTTCTTCGGCGATTCCGATTCCTGCCCCGTCTCTCCCACTCTTCACTCAGACCATCAAGACTCAGAAACCATATCTCGATTCCCTCCTCCACGAATCCGGAGCAGTCCTCTTCAGAGGATTCCCGGTGAATTCCGCCGACGAATTCAACGACGTCGTTGAGGCTTTCGGTTTCGACGAGCTTCCTTACGTCGGAGGCGCCGCGCCTCGCACCAGCGTCGTCGGTCGCGTCTTCACCGCCAACGAGTCTCCTCCCGATCAGAAAATCCCCTTCCACCACGAGATGGCTCAGGTTTGGGCAAAACGAATATTCTAAGAAATAGGAATCTAATTAACATGCTAAGTTTGAAGATTGTTTGCTTTTTGTTGATGATGATAATGTTAAGGTTCCTGAGTTTCCATCGAAGTTGTTCTTCTACTGTGAGATTGAGCCTAAGTCTGGAGGAGAAACACCAATTGTGCTGAGTCATGTTGTATACGAGAGAATGAAAGAAAAGCATCCAGATTTTGTTCAGAGATTGGAGGAGCATGGTTTAGTCTATGTCAGGGTTTTAGGTGAAGACGATGATCCATCTTCACCTATCGGCCGTGGCTGGAAATCCACATTCTTGACCCATGACAAGAACGTTGCTGAGGAAAGGTACTTTCATTGAGTCTCTGAAGCCAAAAGCTGTTTCTTGATGACACTGAAACTTGCTTTTACAGGGCAGCGAAATTGGGAATGAAACTGGAGTGGACGGAGGACGGAGGAGCCAAGACGATAATGGGTCCAATCCCGGCTATCAAGTACGACGAGTCGAGAAACCGGAAAGTGTGGTTCAACAGCATGGTGGCTGCTTACACGGGGTGGGAGGATAAGCGGAACGATCCAAGAAAGGCTGTGACTTTTGGTGACGGAGAGGCTCTACCTGCTGATATTGTTCATGACTGTCTCAGGATTCTTGAAGAGGAATGTGTTGCTGTTCCATGGCAGAGAGGAGACGTTCTGCTTATAGACAATTGGGCTGTTCTTCACTCTCGAAGACCGTTCGAGCCTCCTCGCCGAGTTCTTGCATCACTCTGTAAATAGAGACTATGTTTGTCTTCTTCCACGCAAGAAAGTTTGTATGTACATATTGGCATCATACACATAAGTGGAGATTATTATATATACTAAACCCATTTCTTTTATTCAGAGCACTTTGTAATTACAGAGACTAAACATCGTAAGAAGTAACCAAACACAGACTCATCCCTTCTTTTATTGTCCAACGAGACTAAAAGCTTTTGAGAGCTTCGACTTTAGAGCTCTCTCCTCGTTGAGGTTTCGATTTACAGCTCCTCGTTGAGCTTTATCTTGGATGTTGGCATACCCGGTTTGAGGAATTCTCTATACCATCTCGCGGATTCTTTCTCTATACGGGTCAAGTTGTTCTTGAAGTCGATGTAGTAGACTCCGAACCTAGCTGTGTACCCTTCTTGCCACTCGAAGTTGTCCATTAACGACCACAAGAAATATCCTGTAACATTCACCTTGTCTTCGCTGCAAGAGACAGAGTAAAAATATGAAGATAATTTATAAAGATCCGAAGTGTAGAACAAAATGATAAAGAGATCTCACCATATAGCCTGGTGCAGAGTCAAAAGATGCCTCTGGAGATAGTATTTCCTGTTGTGGTCATTAAGAGCAACGTCATGATCGTTGTCTTTGTCGCCAAGGTCCTCTCCATAACCTATGAAAGGAAAAAAGATTTTGAAATTTAACAAAAGTAAAAAATAAAAATAAATTATGTATATACGAGCTTTGTAAGTTTTGACCAACCATTCTCAGTGATTATGATCTCAGGGTTGCCATATCTGTCTTTGATGTATTTGAGAAGCTTCCTTAAACCAGCTGCGTATACACCCATCTTAGCAGTGCTAGGCTACACAATATGAACGAAATGATATAAAGTTACAGTCGTTAAATACTAAGTCATATATAAAGAACATTATCTAACTAGAAAGAAGACGGAAAGAAGTTGTGTACCTTGGTACCAATCTTAACGGATCCATCCACAGTCTTGGCTGAGAATGTAAAAAAAAAGACCAAAAGACGTTTTCAAAACATTTTCAAAACGTGAAAACATAAACAAACATATAGGTTAATAGGTACCATCGTATTTGGTAAATCAATGATGAAGTAAATGAAACCTTACGTTCAAATTCTGCTCCAGCATCCAAAGCCCAAGTAGGACTCCGAGGATCGGGCTTCTCGGTTTTCCTTGCAAAGAAGGAGAAGTAATAGTTGATCCCCACGAAGTCTGCTGAGCCTTTAAGTTTTTCCTTTTGTTCTTTTGTAAATTTGGGCAACCGAGTTCCGACCGCATCTTTCATACTTTGAGGATAATCTCCGGTCGTTGTGGGATCCAAATGCCTAAAGAAAACCACATTTTTTAAAATCAACAATAAAATAACATAACCAAGAATCAATCCAAGAATTTTGTTTCTTTTTACCAGCCCATGATGAAATCAAGTACACGGTTTACTGTCTCTTCCCCTCCCACATCTTCCGCTTCAAACCAAGCTGGACTATGAGCAATACCAATTTTACCACCTTTGCACTTTTGTAAGAATCAACAAAAAAAGAACTTCGTTGATATCTGTCATCATACATATTTAAGAAAAATACTAATTATGTAATCAATATTTGTTTTCAGCCCGCACGGCTAAAGACCCATGGCTCGTTGAACGTAACCCAGTTTTTCACTTTGTCCCCATATTCTTGGAACGTGAAGTTCGCATACTCCGCAAAATCCGGCCTATACATTCGCATTTTAATAAAATGCAAAGACGACATGTAAATTTAATATTTAAACACATCACATAAACCAAATCGTATGTTATGTAGAGATATGCAAACTTACACGATACGTTCGCTTAAAAAGCCACCGTACTCATCTTCCAAATCGGCGGGAATATCCCAATGGAAAATCGTTACTAGTGGTGTTATATCTGAAACAACAACGAAGAGTTAGCTATTTTAAAGTTACTAAATGTTGATAACTTGATATAATAAATCGAAATGTGCATAACATAATAGATAGAGAGAATCTGTGACCGTTTCTAATGAGCTCGTCTATAACATCGTGGTAAAACTGAACCCCTTCTTTGCTTATTCCTTTCTCCATCCTCCCATCTGTTATATTATTTAATTTCTTATTAATACTAATTCATAATCTTTATTTATTAAAAAATTTGATCATGAATGTTTAGACTTACGTGGAAATATTCTAGGCCACGCAATGGAAATTCTAAAACTATCAGTGTTCAGCTTTTTAATCAGCTGGATATCCTCCTGATGAAATTTATGACAAATGAACATTAGTTTACAGAACAGAAATTTAGGTGACTATAGGCTTTCGAGATTATATGGACTTCTATTGCAGCTTAAAATAAAAGGGAGAAACTAATACCTTGTAACGATGGTAGAAATCAACGGCCACATCAGCATTGTGATGCTGAACTCTCGCTACAGTTTCATGTTGAGATTTTTTTTGATTAGAATACGATAATCTCTCATTAACTCATAATGAATACCCAAGTAACACTCAAAAAAAAAAAATTATAAAACTCCTCTTTGGAACAAATTATGAGTTCACATGATCATAAGCCGTAAGAATAAGTGAGCATGTTGGCGAATGAAGAAAATAAAACTTGATAAGTACTATGCATATGCTTCGTGGTTGAATCAAAACAAATGGAAAAGAAGAGAGAGAGAAAGACCTGGAAATCTCTTGATGTAGAGATCCCACATGCTTGGACCTCTGCAACCTTCATTTACTGCACCTTCCACCTATATTTACCACATGAATAGGTTAGAAATTTATTATTTAATATCATCCCAACATTCCTTAGCTGCATGCATGTTTTGTAATGTTTTCAGGATTCAAACTTAGTAATATAGTCTATGTACCTGAAAGGATGCGGTTGCGGTACCAAACTTGAAGCCCTCGGGGAAACTTGCACGGCTAAGAGTTTCGGTCTTAGGGCAAACAGGTCCTTCTTCGGCCCTGGTCGGAGAGCCGACAAGACTTATAAGCAAAAGTACCCCTAAGAGAGGGAACTTCATTTCTGATTCTTTGTATACACTCACGAGTTTGTTTTTGGTAAGTTTAAATACAAAGTGGAATACTATGTTAAATGAATCGATATGTACAAGGGGAATATGGTCGTTTTATATACGAACGTGTACATATGAATGCATACAACACTGACCGAATGATGAGATTAATAGCGACAATTGAATTTGTAGGCTGCCAAGTGTCTTTGCACTATTACATGCACGTTTTAGGTGTTGAAGTCCAAATGTCTCTTTTTTTTCACTCTCACTATTACATGCACATTGTCGTTTGTCTGTTCTTGTTCTTGTCTTCCCTTCCTCTGACGTAAGATTCACATATGTGTATATCGAATATCTCACACATCTGGATGTTAAGATTAAGTGTATGGTTCAGTAGAATCACATGTGGATATTGAGAAGGTGTGTTTGATTTTGGAGGATGATAAGTGGGTGTTGCATGGATTTTTAACATGTGGAACAATGTCAGATAGAATAAAGCCACAAGTTTGGTTTTGAGGTATCGGTTATCTGGTTGTCTATCTCTGTGTATATAAAAACGCATTTGCATACATCTTCATCGCTACACCACTTATCTTTCTTCAAGGAAAAGAAAAGAGGTACTCTCTCCTAAAGTTCACTTCAATAATTGCCTTTATTAAAGCATTGATTACAACTTCACACGGAGCTTAAATTCTCTTCATCTTTTTGGTTTTAAACTAGTTATAAAAATGATATAATTAAATTCGTGGGATATGTATACGTAGCTACTCTTTTCAGATAACATTTGGTATTGGTCAGATATAATAATAATGGCGGCCGCAACTATGTCTTGGGATGACGGAAAGCACATGAGGGTGAAGAGAGTTCAAGTTACATATGAAGATGTTATCAACTCCATTGAGGCTGTGTATGACGATGATCAAAACCCTAGGCGTCACGGAACTCCTGGCAGGAAATCTGACGGCGTTAGTTCTCACTACCTTATAATATATTATAGTGATTATTTAGTATATAGTTTTAATTTGAGTAATATTTTTATTTGTGTAGGTGAGCTTGAGCCCTGACGAGTACATAACAGATGTTACTGGCTACTACAAGACTACGGGGGCTGAAGATGCTATAGCAGCATTGGCTTTTAAGACCAACAAGACCGAGTATGGTCCTTATGGAAACAAAACCAGGAACCAATTCTCCATTCACGCACCCAAAGACAACCAGATCGCTGGTTTTCAAGGAATTAGCAGCAATGTTCTCAACTCCATTGACGTCCACTTTGCTCCCTTACCATCTGCCACTTCAGCTTCCTCAACCCCATCGTCGGCTTTGAGTCAAGCAAACAAAGTGGATGCTCACGGTGGGCAAGGAGGATCATCATTTGACGATGGTGCTCATGATCATGTGAGAAGAGTGTTCGTTGGACAAGGTGACTCTGGTGTCACTTATGTCAAGTTTGAGTACGAGAAGAGCGGTAACAAGGAACTACGTGAACATGGAAAGAAGACCTTGCTCGGAGCAGAAGTGGTTCGTGTTACATTTTTTTTTTCTTTATATAATTATATATTATGAGCTACGATGTCAAAGAACTAACCTAGCTACTTGAAATCTTTGTATAGTTTGAGGTTGATCCCGACGACTACATCACATCAGTGGAGGTGCACTCCGACAGGATATTTGGGCAAGATACGGAGATTATCACCTGCCTAATCTTCAAAACAGCCAAGGGAAAAACTTCACCACCTTTTGGACTTGAGGGTGCAAATAAAAAAGAACTCAAAGATCCGAATGGTGGGAAACTTGTTGGATTCCATGGACGTGTAGGCGAGCTTCTTCATGCTCTTGGAGCTTACTTCGCACCTCCCTCCGGTTCTGCTTCGACCGGTGGTGGTGCTTCTTCAACCACTTCAGCTGGTGCCAAGAAACTAGAGGCAAAAGGTGGTAATGCTGGAAATCCATGGGATGATGGTGCTCATGATGATGTCAGGAAAGTGTACGTAGGTCAAGGCGACTCCGGCGCACCTCCCTCCGGTTCTGCTTCGACCGGTGGTGGTGCTTCTTCAACCACTTCAGCTGGTGCCAAGAAACTAGAGGCAAAAGGTGGTAATGCTGGAAATCCATGGGATGATGGTGCTCATGATGATGTCAGGAAAGTGTACGTAGGTCAAGGCGACTCCGGTGTCTCCTACGTCAAGTTTATATACGACAAGGACGCTAAGGAGGTTCCCGGAAATGATCATGGGAAGAAGACACTTCTTGCACCTGAAGAGGTCAAAAATATTACAAGAATCAATAATTCACATTTTTTTAGGTTTGTTTTATATTCTTGAATTTTGTGTTTGTTTTTTATTTGGCAGTTTGTGCTCGAGTTTCCAAACGAATATATAAAGGCGGTGGAGGTTAACTATGACAGAATATTTGGAAGTGACGCCGAACTCATAACGATGCTTAGGTTCACGACGAACAAGCGAACTTCTCCACCTTTTGGGCTTGAAGGCTCTGAAAAAGTCATATTCCAAGAAGATGGTCACAAGATCGTTGGCTTCCACGGCAAAGCGGGAGCGGACATAATTCACCAAGTTGGAGTCCACGTCAAGCCCATTTCCAAGTGATGCTAGAAGGTTTTAAAGTCTTATCTTAGATCTCAATCCAATAAAATGAGCTAAGAAATAAAAGCTCTGCTCTAGAAAATTGTCCATGTACGTGTGTAAATGGTAAATGAGGTTTGAATAAGGTCTTGTCACGTCGTGGGCTTTGTTTGTTATGTGTTTCAATGTCTCCTTATGTTTGTTGTGGAGTTTGTAAACACTGTTTATATATCAGATGTATAAAATCTTGGTTACGTTGTGATGTAATTGCGATTCTGTGATATCTTTCAATTTCAAGTTTTACATTATTGCTCTCAGAGAAACAAAAAGTTCAAGTCAATGTCATCTCCATCTCTGGTTCTGTGTTTACACATGGACGCACAAAACTTTTCTAAAACTGGCAAGGAGAAAAGAAACCAACCAGTTCTTGAGTATGATGAACTAACTTTAGTCATATTGCTTCTTCTGCCTATTAGTAACCTCTGGAGGTAAAGACAGGAACTGAGTGATCTTCTGGACCTGAGAGACATTAAGCCGGTACTTTTCAGCTATCTCATTCACACTCATAGGGCCATTGTGGTCCTGAGCTTTCCCCTGATAGAGAAGCATGATGTGTCGCACTTGTGCCACGTTCAATGTTCCTTGAGGCGCCGGTTTTTCTTCGTACCTTGTTGACTCGGGAGTTGTATTCCGGAGCTTTGGGAGTGCCCTTTTCGATGTTTCCACTAGCAATGCCTGTACCAAATCACAAAGTCTGAACATTGTTAAAAACAGATAAAATATGCCCTGGATTAAAGACAGAAGAAAGACCAATATCTGCAACTATATCCAATCACAATGCTAATTCACAAAGTCATACTCTCCTTTCGCATCATCTATATTCTCACATTTCATCTCTCATTCTCAAAGTTATTCAACACCACCACTAATCATTATTCAACAGGAAATGTGACACAACCTGTTTCCTTCTTCCTGATGCCAAGTTTGTAACTTTTCCATAAGTTGATGTTCGATACAATATACAAATTCTAGAGTGTAGGAGAGACCGTATGGTAAAAAGCCTAACATATATCCCAGAAATGCTAAATCAGAATTAGGAACCAACCCGACATTGTTCATGAAAACTTTCTGGATCTATCCACCAATCTCCTTAAAATCAACAACTTACAAGACCTTTACATGACTAATGAAACTCCTAAAGAAGTGACTTAAAGACAATACAAAGGGTTTCATACTCCGTTCTCAACAGCTACAGAACTACAAACACTAAAACTACAGCCACCATTTAGCTATCAATACAGGAAATAAGATAGATCTATATCAAAATTCAATAGCACATACTTGTGCTGATGAGAATCGTTACATCAAATCAGAAGCATTACTAACCTCTCCCATCTCAGCTTTGCCTCCGGGTTTAGCCCTTATTCTCCCCACCATTTGGTTCAGCATTGTATCGTATTTCGGGTCTCGTTCCTCTAAAGCGTCATCTTCATTAGTTCTTCGAGTTTCATCTAACAGAGAATACCCAAATTCAAGATTAAAAACGAATCATTTCTTCGGAAATGGTCAAAAACCCAGAGAAAGGCGACAACTTTCGAATACCCAATCGCTATGGATACTGATAAACTACCGAAAGTAGATAAGAACAAGGTTTTAGGGTTGAATTTTACCAGAAACAACATCAACGGCGGCGGTAGGCGGAGGTTTCGCGGCGCTGAGCTCATCTTTCGGAAGCGATCTCCGATCCACGGTGACCCTTGATGTAGTAGACGGTGATCTCTCAACTTCCTTGATTTTCCCAACGGCTCGACGCAATTGCTGACCCATTACGAACAAACAACCACTCTCTCTCTCTTTCACTCGCCCACTAGAATGTCAGAATCCTATATATCAAGAGAACAATGGAGTTTTAGGTTTGTTTCGCTGCATTCGATTCGTTACAATGGGAGAGAATTCGAATCAAACAGTATCGATTAGAAGAAACTAGCATCAGTATCTTTGAAGGATTCACAGAGAAGAAACAATTTTCAGAGGCAGGAACGTGTTCGTGTTCAAGGGTTACACGCGCCTGCTTTCAGAGACACATGACTTGTTTTTTTCTTCCTTTTATTTTACGCCCGGAGAGATTCGAACTCGGGACATCGAAGCTGTTTTATATAAACGGTATACAGTAGTAGTAGCCTTATTATATGCTTAAAATAAATACTTGAGATAAGTATTAGACTATATCACAAGGCAAATTAACAAAATGCTTAAAATACTTGAGATAATTTTGTTTTTTATGGTTCACAAATACTTGACTTCAATTTATTTTTAAAACATCATAAAACAACCTTAAAAGTTAATAGTTTCACTCGGTTTTATCCTCCAATGTTGGAACAGGAACAAGACTTGGAAGACATGCATAGCCGGAGACATAAGGCCAACTACAACCTACTCTAAATCGGTCTATCTCTTGTTTCCTAACCTCACCATCTCCAATAACATAGGTGTTGATGACGCGAACGTTCTCTTCATCTTCTAACAATTCCTCACAATCCTATCATTCTCATCAATGAAATGGACCGGACTAGCAATATTTTCGTAAGCACGCAATACCGGGAGATCAGGTCTCATGACCACATTGAAAAACTTGGTCCAAGCGATGATCACTCCGTTCTTGATCTTGTTTGTAACCCACACTTCGATATTATCCTTTTCTTTGCCTTTGTGTAGCAAAGAAAGACCATCTCCTCTGAAAGCTGATAAAGCTACGACATCATATTTAACATCTCAAAAGGAAGAGAGCACAAGGGCTCGTATGTCTCTTTCGAGAAGTTAAAACATTGGATGAAGAATTCGGTTCCAAGTCTCCGTTGAGCAATCCAATACATGTTTCCTTTGAGTGACACACCTCTACAACGGTCAACGACATGCCAACAATAATCCAAGCTTGAAACTCTCAAAGTTTTCCAAGAATTGGAGTTGAGCTCGTAGATATCAACCTCTTTATTGTAAGGTCCTAAGCTACCGATCTCGCTTTTATTAGAAAAGCTGTGCACAAACCTCATGATTTTGTAGCCACTATCACGAGATGATAAACCGTCGTCGTATCCAATGCCGTAGGAACAATAAGCCCGGTGAGAAAACTCGGGCTTGATCCATCTAACTTGCCTCAAACATGGGTTCCACACTGCCATCGCTGATGATTGTAAGATGCATAGGAATAATCCGTCGCAGTGAATCATGGTGTAGATCTCTGGTCTAGCATGGAACTCGCTTGGAAGTGATGTTAAAGATGAGCAAACTCCCAACACCGGATTGATGATGGTAAAGTTGTAGTGATTGATACGTACGAGTTGTTCTTGAATGAGAGCTAAGTGCTTGTAGATGAATCTCTTGTCTTTGAAAAGAGCCAGCCATCGTTTGCAAGTTGACTTGAATCGTATAAGAGATTTAGTTGGAACCCTACAAAGTATTTCTTCGCATAACTCGAAAGGAAGCATTAATGAACACTCTTTAGAATCCATGGCCATGGAGAGGTATGGCTTCTGGGTATTGTTTAGTAGGTGTATGCATGAGTCTTGATTTTAAAGTTGTTGGGATGCCATGCCATCTTATATAACAAGAAAACTTAAAAAAGAGTAATTTGATTATATGTTTGGAAATCAGCTGCCGTGGACCAATTATTTTTCAACATGTCTAATTTCACAAATGTTAATTGGATAAAGAAATTAAAGAAAAATATGAACAAATATATTTTCCCTCAAAAGTTTTAGTGAATTTCCTATAATTGTGGTATTCATATACATCTGAATTAGGTGAATCGTCATTATTTAGTGGAAATATGTTTCTTAATATTTCTAAAATCATTTTTAAGAAGAAAAAAAAATTAGTAACGCCAGATTTCATACTATAAACAGTTACTTCTAAAAGATGGTGTGGACCAACAGTTTCCAATTTGTCTAATTTCAGAAAACAAAAGCTTCTATATAGAGTAGTATATATTTTTGCTCAAATGTTCCAGTCAATTTCTGATAATGGCAATCCCTTTAACTAACATTAATCAGAATTTTATTGTTAGAAAAAGTATGGTTTTTTTTGTTAAAGGGCTTAAAAGAACAATATTGTTACCCAAATATAATAATAGCAAAGTTGACAAGAAAATGCCATCGATATATATATATATATATATTTGATAAAAGCGAGCCTTACATATTGCAACAAACCTTCTAGCATTTGTGGCTGAGTATTAGATGACAAGAAAATGCCGTCGAAATATCCAGTGTCTTCATAAAGGTGATCAATTCATTTCGTATCTCGAATTTCTAAGGAAACACACACGTTTATCATTGTGTGATCAACTCCTAAATGAATTGATTACACTTGGATACTCTCTTTATTAGTTCTTCGAGTTTCAGTGGCACAAAAGCGTTACTGTTGTCCCAAGGATGAGGAGCAAAACAGATTTTGAGAAAAAAAAGAAATATCAGCTTTGACATGGTTCTCTTCTCTGGCTATATAATTAAGTGTTAAGACCCACAGAAGAACAAATATTGTTTCACTTATGTGTTTATCTTTCTTGTAATTTAGATGTTTTCTTGAGTTAGTACTAGGCTATTGTGTTTTTGTCACTAGACATAATAATGATAGCAAAACAGACAGACATATTCCTCTTTCTTCGGAAAAGTTATTTTTATTTGTTTTTCTCCTCCCACAGATTGTAAACCTTTATCGTCAAGTTGTGATAAATAAGATTCCTCTAAACATTTCGTCAAAAAGCAAAAAATATTCCTCTGAATTTTTTCAGAGCACATGTATGGACTAGTCACTCTCTTGTGTTGACGTAAATACAATAGATGTTTATAAAATAACCAAAACAAACATTTTAAGTTTGAGTTTTTTGGTTGGTGAGTCAAAAATATAAGTAAAAATTGGTATATATAAAAGTAAAAGTGGCTTAAAAAAGGATTAGAAAATAGAGAAGGAACAATGAGGGAAGTAAGTGCGACGAGAGGATCACTAGATTTGGTCGGCACATCACTTTATCTCTGAAATTCATAAACACAAAACTTTGGCCCCTACCTTAACGTAACCCACTTTCTTCTTTTTCAACCCCACAATTTCTTAACATCTCCAAACTCACCCTCTCCACACTTAGTGTGCTCTTTCCTTTTTCTTTTCCTTTTTTCTCCCATTGGGTTGCAAGTCTACTCTGATCTTCAGTCTTCGTGGTCGAGAGGTCGGGAGAGAGAGAGAGAGAGAGAGACGTACAAATTTTTAAGTGTGAGTTCTATAGTTAACATCTAACGCAATATGATAGAACGACTTCCCAAACTAGGACATTGGTTTGCTAGTTGAAATTCATTCACCACTATAGATATCACACTTTTAGTGACCATTCAGTAAACGTGTATAAACTTGTTACTCTACATAAGTTACTTCTTCTTAGAGATATTTGGTTTTTTTTTTCTGTTTCTTTGAGTTATATTCCATATATAGTAGCAAATTATATCCATGGTAAAGGATATAAGATTTTTAACAAGATATGTAGCTTTGGGAATCAAACATTTCGAGTAGATGTACATCGAAAATATCACATACATACAGCAACTTGGTCTGATGATTAGCAAATTGGCATGTGGTTAGGTGACTTTCAACTATAAATTGGTCTACGTTTGCTTTTGGGAAAACAAAAAGCAAACTTTAGGAAAACTGAATTTTCAAGAAACTTGACTTTAAACTTGTAAGCATGGTCTCATACGTATAACGTCAACAAAGCAAACTTAACGAATCTCTCTTTTAGCTTGATTTTCTTAAAACACTGATCCTAAGACAGTCTTCCTTCCATATTTTGTGTTTTAAATGTAATAAAGGTAAGATTAGTACTAGTGCATAGAGAATTTCGCATCAGTGCATTTTTTTCATTATCGTATACACGCACACACACACACACACACACACACACACACACACACACACAGACTAAAGTAGAGATCGGAAGTCACCTCTCAATTCGTTTCATTCACTTTCGGTTTATTGATTTCACCATTTAATTAACAAAATTATCATCATATAGTTAAATTATAAAAGCTATCCAGTACTTAAGAGAGAGTGAATAAAAACATAATACATTGTGAGGGTTAGATTTTGTTTCTATTGATTAAACATGGTCAACAAAATGATACCAAGGAGGTTATGAAACTATATTTTCTTTTTTATTTTTGTGATATTTAACTTGAACTTATGCCATAACACTAAATAATAACAGAAAAATATATACCTTTTAGGAATTTTGGAAAAATGTTTTATTTTTCTGTATTCAATTTTTTATACGAAAAGAATATCGAAAGAGCACAGAATGGACCCCACCCTCCACAAAGCCTGCAACACTCAATTATATGCCCACAACATGCAAACAATTATAAACATCACTGAGCTCCAAGTATTTCTTCTATAAATGTAGACTCTCTCACGACTCACAGAGCAAAGAGCCCACTTATTTTAGCTAAAGTCCAAAAAAACAAACCAAACAAATCTATCTCTTTCTGAGTTTGCTTTAATATGGCTCCTCTGCCTATTTCTTCGATTAGTGTTGGGAAAATAGATGATGTTCAAGAACTGATTAAATCCAAACCAAACAAAGTTCCAGAGAGATTCATTAGAGAAGCCAATGAGAGAGGAGTCCCAGTGTCACTTAAGAGTCACCTTCATCATCATATTCCTGTTATTGATCTCTCTAAACTCTCTAAACCTCACACTCATGATGATTTTCTCTTTGAGATTCTTAAGCTCTCACAAGCTTGTGAAGATTGGGGATTTTTTCAGGTAAATTGATGATACTATATTTTAGAAAAGGTTGTTTATTTCTCGAAGTCATATCCAGTAATTCTTTTTTGACAGTTAATATTTTCTTGAGATAATTGGGTTTCTCAGGCCAAATCTTGGACCATTAACATGTTTGACCATATGTATGAGTTTTTTTTTGAATTTGCTTGGACTTATGTTTAAAACTATTCATGAATATCATCATGGATTTTTCTATTACAACATAGGTTATAAATCATGAGATCGAAGTGGAGGTTGTGGAAGATATAGAGGAAGTGGCGAAGGAGTTCTTCGAGATGCCATTGGAGGAGAAGAAGAAGTATCCAATGGCGCCAGGGACCGTACAAGGTTATGGTCAAGCTTTCATCTTCTCTGAAGATCAGAAGCTTGATTGGTGCAACATGTTTGCCCTTGGTGTTCATCCTCCTTCTATTCGCAACCCCAAACTATGGCCTTCTAAACCGGCCCGGTTCAGGTTCTTCACTAAAACCCCTATTTTCTCATATTAGACTAGTCCTCAGAACGCGCGTTCGTTTAATTTTCATGATCATCGTATTTTATATAATCAGTGGAGTAATTAATTAGTGAGCATATGCCGCGCAAATTCAAATATTTTTTTACTAAGCATATTGTCATGTACTCATGTACACTGTATCCATGTTCGAAATCATGATTCAAAACTTTAAAGATTATAGTGGATCATATGATAATTGAATTATTATATAACGAATCTTAGTGATATTTTTAAAGTAATTTAATTAATTCATTTTTAAGGCATAAATATTATTATATATGTTTGACTAAAGAATTACTTTTCTTTTCTCTATAGTGAAAGTCTTGAAGGTTATTCAAAAGAGATAAGGAAACTATGCAAAAGGTTGTTGACGTACATAGCAATAAGCTTGGGTCTAAAAGAAGAGAAATTTGAGGAAATGTTTGGGGAGGCAGTGCAAGCAGTGAGGATGAACTATTACCCTCCATGTTCAAGTCCTGATCTTGTCTTGGGACTTAGCCCACATTCTGATGGAAGTGCTCTCACTGTTCTCCAACAGAGCAAGAACAGTTGTGTTGGCCTTCAGATCCTCAAAGACAACACTTGGGTCCCTGTTCTACCTCTTCCCAGTGCCCTTGTCATCAATATTGGTGATACCATCGAGGTACTTTTTACATAAATTTTAATTATAGAGTAAAATGTTTTACCATTTACTAAAATTGGTATACCAATTTTGTATATAGGTGCTAACTAATGGGAAGTACAAAAGTGTGGAGCATAGGGCAGTGACAAACAGGGAAAAGGAGAGGCTTACAATAGTAACATTCTATGCACCAAACTATGAGGTGGAAATAGAACCACTGGGTGAGTTGGTTGATGATGAAACCAATCCATGCAAGTATAGAAGCTACAATCATGGTGACTATAGTTATCATTATGTCTCCAACAAGCTCCAAGGCAAGAAGTCCCTTGATTTTGCCAAGATTCTCAATTAACTAATATTATTTTTCACCTCATCACCCTCCATCAACTAGTTACCACTTAATTTGCTTTCTTGTTAAAAATTAATTTGTTGAACTTTTGTGTGTATAATGTATAGAAATGTTCCCCACCTAGGGTTTTTATTGTCATGATTAAATTCCCCAATTTGGATACAACTTGTAGTATATTATATGTGTGTGTGGGTGGAGTTGGAATTTGGACGTGTTTGTGTTTATATGTATGTAGAGAAGGAACTAAAGCAAATAATAAGAAAATAACATCAAAATCCGTGTTTATGTTAATTATATTTGTGCATAATGTAATTTCATTCGTTTGTATCATTAAGCATATATATTCCAAAATAATCTTCCCAAGTGTTGACTAAAAGAATAAAGAAAATCTTCGCGAACGGGTCTCTAATTGAATATTGATCTCCCTTTTTCTCTACGTCACGGGATTTGGAGTAGAATGCTCAAAGATTTATTAAAACAATTTGGAAGATCAAATCAGAAGAAACAAGACGGTATAGACAAAAATGGCTCCATTATTATTTTTACTGGTTTTACCAAACGACAAAAGGCTTCATTATATGACAATGAACAAATTAGAAACTCTTTATTATTATTAGTTAATAATGGCTCAACAATAATTACGTAAGAACTGTATTGTCGTTTCTGATTTCTTTGTCCTCATTGTCCCTTAATTAATAAAAAAACACATTCTAGAGAAGAAAAATGAATGGAGGATGATGTGGTTACACGTCATCTTAATGGTGGGAACCATAAAAATTAACAAAATATCATATCAAAATGATTTAACCTAAGATTGTGACTTAATCATTCTCGTATAGAATCAAAATGTTCAATTTGTTAAGAAAAGCCAAATCTCAATTATAACTCCTTCAGAAAATGCTGTTGCACTTCCACCCATTATCTACCATTTTGCGGTTAAAACATGCACCCATCTAATAGTAGGGTTTTAAACCAACAGTATAATCTTTACAATTTTTTATGTGTATTACATTTCGCATATGTACGTATGTTTAAGAGTCACTTGAATTGTTAGACATTTATTTTATTTTTTCATTAATTGTTCATGGACGTGTCAATAAAGACAAAAACATGAAGTCGACTTTATATGTCCACAAAATACGACTGCACCAAATTTACTACCACTAGATTTGGAATCAGACTGAGCCAAACCAAACATCTTCTATCCGAATTGGGACACAATGGGACCGGTATGGACCAATCGACAAATCTATCCACTAAAGGATATATGCTTTTACTTGCAGTCCAAATAAGAAATCAGAAATGTCTTTAACACATAAACTGTTGAATGAATTCAAGTCACATACAAATACTTGCAAGCAAAATTTTTCCTATATAAGAAAATCAGATCTAAGAAAAAAGAAACCCCAGAAACACAGGAAAGGTTTAAAGATTAGAAGACAATGTTTAAACAGATGAAGAGGATAATACTAATACAGAAAACAAGAAATTTGATTTAAAACACGACGGGAATAAATTAGTTATTACCTTATTGTAAGGGGTGAGATCGGATACGTGACTTTTATGTTATAGAGACTAAGTAAAATGGATTTTATATGAGTCGGAGCCGGAATTTCTCTAAGTCTGAGATCGGGGTGAGCGGTGAACAAACTCAGAGTACGAAAATGAACTAAGTATCAAATACGACCTCAAAGTACGACCTCAAAAGGGGAAGAGGACATACAATAAGATCACTCGAAAACGGGGTGTGTACGAGCTACGACCTCTCTGCGAATTAGAGAGGAATTCTTGTATTTAGTGTAGTCAAATTACAGATAATATCAAATCAATGAGCAATACGAGACTATTTATAGTGAAAACTAGTACGAGACTATTTATAGTGAAAACTAATAGTGGGCTTCTAGGCTTTTTAGGAGAGAGTTCCGTACCGAGACGAACAGGTTGAGGGCGTCTCGTTCCACCCGCGTTTTTGACGTCAAGACCAAGTATCACGGGCGTTTTGATCAGGTCAAACAGTATCTCGCCGTGCAGAAGGAGAAGCTGAAGGTTGGACATCTTCTTGGCCAGAACAAGGCAATTCGCGGAGCGTATCGTGCCTTAGGGGAGGGGAGTGGTCGTTCCTCCTGAGCTGATTGAGAAGATTGATGAACAGAAGCTGAAAATCGAAGTCGACTATCGCCAGATTGAGGTCGTCGACCTCCCGAGGTTTGACGTGACGCCGTTCTCGAACAACGCCAGCCGCTACTTGCCTGTTGATGGGGGGGCTTCGATTACCGTGGAACATGGATCAAACGAAGGACTCATCGGTCCCACCGAGCTCGAGAGACTTCGTTCCTCTTCCCCTTTGACTCCGTCTACCTCTAGTTGATTGCTTGTTTGTCCTTTGTATTTCCTTATCTTTGTAGTACTGGTTCGTTGATGCCTCCTGACGAGGTCGGTTTGTTGAGACTTGATGTAGACTCTTATGCTATTTGATGAATTTATTATTTTGCTTCCTGATTTGTCATTACATTGTTGGTGCGCTGACGACCATCGTACTTCTCTCCCTCTTTTTTTTTTTTTACGAAATGAGAGTTTGGCTTGATTCTTTACTGGGGTTGAACTCGGCCTGCCTTCTTTACCGGGGTCGAGTTCGGCTTGCTTTCTTCGCTGAGGTCGGGCTCGGTTTATCCTTTTTGCGAGGCGGAGCTCGGCTTGGTATCTCAGGTACGAAGCTAGTTCGGCTTATCCTGTTCGTCGTTTTGCGAGACTGGGCTCGGCTTTTTCAATGCCTTGGGATCTTCTATTCTACTTGTCGGACATACGAGATGAGCTCGGTTTACTTGCCCTTTTCGAAGGAAGAATCCCTGCGAGCCTGGACTCGACTTGGTTATTAGGTGCGAGTTTCGGCTTACCCTGTTCGAAATTTTGCGAGACTGGGCTCGGCTTTAGTCGACGAGCTAAGATTTGTCGTCTTAAGCATCAAAGACGTGGATTATTTCACCACTACACCCGTGCGGAGCGCGATAAATCGATCACTTGGCCAAAATGACGATGCTTTGTTTATACAGAATAGACTATGTGAAGTGCTCGTGTACACCTAGAAAATTTTGCAAGGAAATTTTTTTTTTTTTTTTTTTTGGATTGCAGTTGGACCTCTCTTTTTTGGAGGCTGCCTACGTACCCCACTTGAGTGAGGATCAAACCGATCGTAGTTCACATTGCACCCGAGCTCGTTTTTTTTTTTTAGCCAAGTGACTGTGCTGATGACGCTTGCTGATGGTCGGCAGGCGATCTTGGCTCGGGGAGCTTAGTAGTAGTAGCGCTTGATGCTTGCGGAGTTCTAGGATCTCGGGATCGGGTCTCCTGCCATTGTGAGTAACTCATAAACTCCGGGGCGAACGACCTTGGAGATGATATAGGGACCTTCCCAATTTGCACCGAGTTTGCCAGCGTTAACTTCCTTCGTGTTTTCGAAAACCTTTCTGAGTATAAGGTCTCCTTCGACGAACATCCTCGTGCGAACTTGCTTGTTATAGAACCGAGCTGCGGCTTGCTGGTAGTTTTGAATGCAAAGTAGGGCTTGGTCACGTTCACCCTCGAGCTCGTCTAGGCGGTCGAGAATCATCTTGTTGTTAAGTCGCGCATCTGGGGTCAACATCGAGTGTCGGATTGCGCCTATGCCGACCTCTGCAGGGAACATGGCTTCGATTCCGTGCGAGAGGGAGAAGGGAGTGCGGCTCGTCGCGCACCTTGGTGTGGTTCGGTGTGACCATAGGACACCGTCGAGCTCGTCTGCCCATGCCCCTTTCTTGGCATTGAGTCGTTTCTTGAGTCCGGCGCGATCGTCTTGTTGGTAGCTTTGGCTTGGCCGTTGCCTTGAAGGTAGCGGGGTGTCGATTTGCTGAGTCTGATCTTCCACCGGGCGCAGAATGCTTCGAAGGTTGCAGAGATAAACTGGGATCCGTTGTCGGTGACGATCTCATAGGGCAGACCGTGCCGGCAGATGATGAATTTCCACACGAAGTTGCGGACGTCGTTGTCCTTGATGGTGGTGTAGGCCGCGGCCTCGACCCACTTGGTGAAATAATCGGTCATGACGAGTACCAACCGCTTTTGCCAAGAAGGAGGGAAAGGTCCGATGATGTCTATGGCCCAACGCATGAACGGGTAGGGGGCGGTTGAGGCAGAGAGTAGCTCGGATGGTTGATGAATGATTGGGGCGTGGCGTTGGCGTTTCTTGCAGCGAGCGACGAATTTCTCGCAGTCTGGGATCATAGTTGGCCAGAACATGCCATGCTTCTTGATTTTGAGAGCGAGAGATCGGCCCCCGGAGTGGTTGCCACTTGCGCCTTCGTGTGTTTCCTTCATTACGTTTTGTACCTCTTGGCCGCTGACACAAGTGAAGAGCGCTCCGGACATGCTGTATCGGTATAAGGTGTCCCTGACGAGTACATAGTGGGAGGCACGGGCTTTGAGCCGCCGAGCTGCCCATTTGTCTCTTGGCACTCTTCCGTTGTTGATGTAGAGCTTGAGCTCGGTCTGCCAGTCGTCGTAGGTGGGTTCCGTTTCCTTGTCCATGGGCTCGCACATCCCCTCAGACGGCGCCAAATGTAAGGGGTGAGATCAGATACGTGACTTTTATGTTATAGAGACTAAGTAAAATGGATTTTATATGAGTCGGAGCCGGAATTTCTCTAAGTCTGAGATCGGGGGGAGCGGTGAACAAACTCAGAGTACGAAAATGAACTAAGTATCAAATACGACCTCAAAGTACGACCTCAAAAGGGGAAGAGGGCATACAATAAGATCACTCGAAAACGGGGTGTACGAGCTACGACCTCTCTGTGAATTAGAGAGGAATTCTTATATTTAGTGTAGTCAAATTACAGATTATATCAAATCAATGAGCAGTACAAAACTATTTATAGTGAAAACTAATAGTGGGCTTCTAGGCTTCCTCCTTTTCTTCAAGGGCTTGGGTCTTTTGCAATGTCTTGGGTTTCAAAATCAGGATTATGGGCTGGGCCTTTGATAGAGTGAAACCCACCATCAACACTTATAAGAAAATAATTAATGTGGTTACATTATGTAATCTGAGAAGTTTCGAGAGTCAAACACTCTAAATAATTGAGGTATATATATATATATATATATAAAGGGGTTTTCTATAAGGTAAGCAATGGATTTTACAAGAGAAACAAGCATGCATATCATGAAGAGACCAAAGAAGGGTTAAGTCTTGGTTTTTAGGATTCTTACTTTCTAGGAAGGCACGAGTGCTAGAATCTGGTTTCTGATGATTCCCATGCACTTCTGGATCTCTGTATAGATCGGAAGGTTCCTTGAGCTGCAAGGCTGTAAACTTGCCACCGCCGAGTCAAGCACCTGTGCCACTTCACTTGGTGGGAATTGCCTCTCTGTACATTTCTGCATTGTAACGAGTTTTCTTGTGTTAGAATCACAAACTTGGAACCAAAGAAGAACGCAACACCATATGACTAGACTATAAAAATTACTGAATGGGGTTTTGAGATTTTCACCTGGATCATGAGCAGTGTAGCCATACAGCGTGAAACAAGTTCAGATGGGATTTGCAGGTCGTTTTGGTCGAGCGGATTTTGGTGGGAATCATCAGCGTGAGCTGAGCTAGGAGGATTTGGTGTGAATGGAAGACGCTGATCATGGGAACCTTGTGCTTGCTGGACTGATGGTTCTTCTGTTTGATCTACTGAGAGCTGATTATTCACAAAATCAATGGCTTCTTCAATATTTACAATATTATTTTTCTCTTTCCTTAGTATCGTCAACGCCTGCAACAGATACAGAGACAGAATCGTCACTGTTTGGTTAGACCTTTGAAGGCGCAATTAGAAGTTTTACTTTATAAAAAAAATGACCAACTAGTTATACACGGACCTGTATAGCTCTGTGTACCATTTTCCGTGCTTTAATTCTAGAACTGTCAACAATCTCAGACACATGGAATCCATTGGTGTCAGATGCATCATTGTCTAAGTAATTTAACTGACCATCAGGTTCCCCTGATTCGCTCGTGCGTCTTGTTGAAGTACATGGCACATTCTCCTGGTAAGTATTTCGTTGCCTCAAGCCAAGAAGTGCCAACGAAACCTGTACATAGTGAGACATATAATGTGAAGTTTCATGAGCTGTATGTAGTAAAGAGAACGATATGACTCTTATAGTTCCTTATTAGACTCATGCCTGTTCATTGATTTCGCTTAGCTGAAAGAGAACTGCTGCATATTGTTTCTTAAAAGACTCAGAATCCTTTAGAGCATTATCCCCATCTTTCTGACTTTCCACAACCTCGTCGTTCATGCATTTTAGCTCCCTCAAAACTAGCTCCTGCAGTGTTGTAGATTAACAGTTAGTTGAAATGGAAACGATAATGTCGAAAGAGCTAGACAACAGGGAAGCCATGGAGGATACAGCATAGAACGGAGTAAATCAAAGACTAACATATCAAACCTTAAAAGTTATTATCAGTCCTTCAACGCTAATTAGTAATATTTATGATTTCACATTTCCTTACTAGTCAATTAGAAACTTTTATCTATTCAGTCACATCCTCTTGCAATCTCTACTTAAAATGTGAGCGAAACGAGAAGTTTAATGCTAGCAAGACTAAAGCAGTATGATGAAATATGGAAAGAGATAAAAAGCAACCCAACCAAAGAAAACTAATGTTGCAGAGTATTATAGTGAATAAGATTAAGAACAACGAAAAAAATTACAAATGTATAGAAGACTGAGATTTAACAACTGGTCAAACCTTCTTGTTAAGCACACGTGTTAGTTCAGAAAGAGCTTGGACATCAGCTTCTCTTGCATGGATATGTCCAATACTTGAAGGCTGAGAATTCAACAATTGTAAATCAAGAGCCTCATCGTCTCCATCTTGAGCTTGTTGATTCGAACTTGAGATATCTACCTGTAATATTAGGGCAAACTTGAATACAATTGGAAACAATCAATCAAGATTCAATTTAGCTTAAGCTAAGATAGGTGTAGTCAAATGCCAAACAGGGCACTATATGAGAAAGCGGGTGCAGTGCAAGTAAGGAAGAGGAATAACATTAGCTACAGTCTCCGCGAGAACTGTAATAGAGCATTCACTTTATTTTTTGTATAAGACTGGTAAGAGATTTGAATAGTTTAACTAGATCACTAGGTATTTCCCAGCGTAGACTGCAACCCATCTATATTTAAGAAACAAGTTCACCACAAGAACGCCTTAAAATCCAGGTATGCAGGAAAATGAACTTCCACAAAAGAATATAGTATATTAGAAAAGCAGAATATGAGGCCTCGCATGATGGTCAGAAAATACCAACCTTTTCCTGCTTTACTGAATTGCTAATGTTATAATTTACTGAGGGTAAGGGATGGTCTGTCTCGCACGAAATTTTGAGATATCCTTCCGGCATGCTTCCCTTTACCCGCTCATGCATTTTCTCCTCGCTGGAATTCTGAGTGTGCAAACTCAAAGCATAGTGCCTTGCAAGTGATGCTGGCATGTTTTCTAGAGGATTCAGGGGCATGCATTCAGTATCCTTCACCAAAAGAAGATTTGATGTTATTTAAAGGTTATCAACATGTAATTTCGTTCTAACTATCATGAAGTCTTTAGACAGTTTCTAGTGCTTTTGTAGAGTACCCCATGTAGTAAGTACCAGAAAAATTATCAACTCGAATGTCAGAAAATCCAGATTCTAAAAATGCCATTAAAAACTGCACTGTATGGAAGAGTACCTTAACAAATTCCACACCTAGTTCAGGGTTGTCAAACTGTATCCGGTACCTACACTGATCAACAGTTAGGACGCTGCCGTCATGAATCTCTCTTGATTTTGGATGGAGGGAAATGACTCTCTGTGAAACATTTAGAGGCCGAGCCAGATCCATCGGAAGGCCTTCCCTCATGCCTGTGTTTAGTTCATCATAATGTTTTCTTACAGAGTCCCTGTATAGGTATAGCTTTTCTTTTTCCTCCTTCAGAAACTGTGCAGAAAAACGTCTTGGCTTCCCAAGAGAACTGCACCAACAAAGGAAAAATTAAGGAGACATACATACACACACAACAACAACAAAAAACGTAAAAATTATCAGCATTTTAGTAGTGAGGACCTCCTTATGACACCCCATTCAACGCGAGTTAACCTAGGAACATGACCCAACCCTACATGATCCAAGTACTCAACAAACTCTTGTCTCGCAAACCATGGGTAGTCAATTGCACTGTAGAACCACTCAAAAAAGCACCATCTTCTTGCTCGGAAACTAGATATGCAATGCGAAAACTTCTCCTGCAGAATAAAAGTAAATGGTAGAACATATAATCAGGGAACTAAACAGACTAAATTCCTTAGAAATAATGATCGTAAGATTAACTGATTTAAATTGGGGATTCTTTATCACTTGGCAATAGAGTCTTAGCATCAGAAAATTTACTTACTAGAGTCTCAGAATTCCTCCAGTCATCAATAGTTAGGGGTTTTTCTGTTACTATCTTTCTTCTGCTCCTAACTTTAGTTGGCAAGTTAACTTGTTTTTTTGCAACTGCAGTTGATGGAGCTGACTCATCTTCTTCTACTACGTTGTTAGTTGAGGAAGTACGATCCTGGGGTTTGACAGACTTCTTTTCATGTGAGTTTCGAATACTAGCTGACCGTTTACCTCTCCCAACAGGCTTATTTCCCTCACCTATTCCCTACAACATTATAATCAGTCCTCAGATAAAAACTACAAACAAAATTCCACGAAGAAAAAGAAACCTGAAATATTTAAATAATTTGGTTGTCAAAAGACGCAATACATTCCAAAAAGCACACAAATAATTACATTCCAAAGAGCACACAGATAAGTACAGTATGCAATATTGTGTAATTGGAAGAATTGTGTTGTAAAGAAGACACGTACCTTGTTATTAGGAGGCTCAATGACTTGTGAACTTGCAGCAAGCTCATCTTTAGGAACCTGCAGGAAGAAAAAAGCTTCAACGTGGTCATGAATTCTGCCAACACAACAGTAAAAGCAAGTCTGTCTTTGTTAAACATATGGCTTCTCTTACTTTAGCTGGCGATCCTTTCTGCCGTCTCGTTCGGATTACAGAGCTACTTGGACTCCTTCTCTCGGCTTCAGTATTACAAAGATCATTGCTGACGGATCTTCTCTGTTTGGAGTTCCTAACATAACCACTTTTTGACATGGATGCTGGATCAGTCCCTTTTAAATCTGACACATAAGCTTTTCCAGCTCTCTTTTCCTCAGTCCCTTTTAAATCTGACTCTGAAATAAACCAAAGTTAAGATTGAAAAAGTTAATAAAGAACTTAATTGCTTCTCAGTGTATGGCCAATGAAAAAAAAAACTTAAGACACTAGGTTAAATGTACAGCGCTTATAGGTCAAACATAAGTATCCCACCAGTGTCCGTGGCAGTTTCAGGCATCATCAACGAGAGATCTGCCAACGTCTGGAGAGCATCACATGCTGTGTCTTCATCTGCAGAGAGCATTTACATGAAAAATAAGTTGAATTGCCGTTATAAACAGTATAAACTGAATGAAACTTGGCAACATTACTGCGCAAGCATGCAAAGAATGGCATTGATTATTAGTTCAAATGAATGTAAACATGAGCTGAATTCCAAGCAAAAGTAAAAGGAGCTTCTAAAGTTTGTCAATAGATAAAAAGAATCTACAGGAAGAATGACTCCGTAAACCTTATTATGAATTTTGGTCAAATTTGAATTCCAAGCTCAGTAGCCAGCTTGTCTTAAATTACCAAAATCAGGCAGAAGTTGCTTCCAAAGTTTATCCAGACCAAATCAATTGTCAATGACATTACCAGCATTTATGATTTGTCACTAAACAGAAATTTAAAAGTTTAGAAACACCAGAGAGAGTGCTAACAAATGCAGCAAGTCAAATTTTGATTTTTCTATATACTTTCATCTAACGAGAGTATCAGCTAGTTGAGATGAAGTCTTATGGGAAAGCTAGATTTTAATTGGTGTTTCTCTTAAGTCTACCAAGCATGTATCACCTGAATTTATAAGAGTACTTTGAATAAAGGAGCATTGATGTTTCTATTAGTTCCTTTTCTCCTACTTTGATGTATTCCATAGAGGTAAATTAAGAAAGAGAAGTGAGAGACTAGAACACACCTGCAGTAAAGAGACTTTTTTTACTTTTTCTCCTTGAACCTCTATAAGTGAGTTTCGAAGACTTCCCATCCCCTTCTGGTTCAAATTTCTCATCGAGAGCGCCTAAGCTTTGTGCTTCATCTGTACCACTGCAGGCTTCTTTTGCATCATCGGCTTTGATGCCAAATCTCCTCCTATAGTATTTCTTTCCATTTTGCTGCAGATCCATGGCACTAGAACCTTCTCCATGCGCCAGGTCCTTTCTACCTCCAGAATAATCCACATTATCAGCTTCAGTGCTTCCTAAGCTTTGTTCACGGCGGACATCTTCCATATCAGTGGCACGAAGCTTGGCAATCGCCAAGTCAATATCGGCACGCTGAATATCAAAAACTTATCAGTCAATACTTCTATGAAACAGTTCCTACTTCAGCAAAAAGGTTACATTTCCTTCTATTTAACGAATTTGCAAAAGGACTATCATGTAGAGAAAACGATATTTAGTTTGCTTAAGGCTTTTTCCTATAGTTTATGCAAGGAATAAAAAGTTTGAGATCACAAGCCTTATGAAGGAAGTAAATGAAAGCAACAGTAAGGAGATTACCATTCTTTCACCCTTCTTATCAGGGGAGTACATCTTTGCTTGTCTAGTTGCTGTGTTGGATTTCTTGGTCGAGCCACCTCGTTGTGAAGCCTCAGTCAATGCTAATGCAATCTCATGTTCCATATCATCATCAGTATCATCCCCCTTCTGATTTAGACCTTTTTTGCTAGTATCCTTCTCAAGGTTATATGAGATAGGAATTCTAGGAGTCCTTTTACCAACAGCACGGGGCGTGGTCTCTTGGCACATGCAGATTACGATTAAAAGCAAAGTTAGCAACCAATAGAGCTTTACCATTACAGAGATAGCTAGTGAGGCGAAAACAAAATCCCAGAGATAAATTTTTTTGAAGGCACATGCAGAGATAGCTAGTGAGGCGCTAAAGAATCCCTCTACTTATAAAATAAATGGAAATGGCAGTTCAATAAGCTGATCCTGCAAGGCATTCAACAGCATGGTATGACATCAAAGGGACTGGAATAGTTGAGAAAAAAAACAGTTTGCACCAAGCAAAGACCCATGCATAAATAGAACTGTGGTGTGCACGCACAACTCATGCTTGTGAATGGTGAACAGATTTTGAGGCAAAGAGAAGCAAAGAACACTACCAGTACGTCTCTTCTTCAGTGATGGCAAGCCACCTGAAGAGGACCTGAATTGCAAGCGGTCAGACAGACCCTCTAATCCTGTAGACGGATGATCTGAGGATTTCACCTTAGAGCGCTTAGGGGCTGACTTCGGAGTTTCAAAACCTTCATTGTTTTCCTGCTCACTGTCACTCCTTCCATGCTAGAGAAGAGATAGACTCGTTAACATAATAACATAAAATCAAACCAATGCCAAACTATAATTTATATTCCGTTGCGACATCAATGGAAATATTTTATCAACAAAACTCATCAACAATCAACCTCAAACCAATGCCAAACTATAATTTATATTCCGTTGCGACATCAATGGAAATACTTTATCAACAAAACTCATCAACAATCAACCTCACTCCACGTGCATATAAAACAAAGTCAGCTAGCCATCTTTCTAAGAAATGCATAATGCTTAACAAAAAACACTGAGCAACAAAAAAAAAAAGAAATAACTGTCTTCCCTGAGCCAAACTATATTTTCAATTGATAAAATCTGAAGAAACAAGAGTGCTAAACCACTAGGTGGAACAAGAAACAAAAAGAAAATTAGCATGCTTAGTAGTTGACAGATGTTCTATTCAAACGCCTGTAAAAATTTTAAAAAAAAAATCGTTTACAAATGGAAATTAGAATCTTGAACTGGACCAAATCCGTATAAGTTAGCAATAGTCAAGATACTGAAATCAAATAACTATTTGAACATTTAAAGCTCTTACCAAAACAGAGTAGTGATCGGTCATCATTGCATTTAGGCCAACCACAGAAGCAGTCCCTTCCGGAAGAGACAAGTAAGCCTATGTACATATGGCATATTATAAGTTGAAATATGTTTAGACAAATATCAAAAGACAAAACGAGGCAGGAGGAGACCATGCTAACCTTATTCATAGTGTATAGAGCCTCTACCATATCTGCAGAACGGCTATGTACAAATCCAGCCACCTACAAACCATAAAGGGCATAATTAATGCTGGTTCTGCTAACTAAAGTGATTCTAAAAAATGACATTGCCATGCCCATAACATTTATCTGATACTATAGCAGTACTTTATTACCATTCTTTTCGCATAACGGAATGTTGTAATAGAAATCATACTCCAAATCTAATATGATTTATATTTTGCTAATTTAACTGACCTTTTTCCATTCTTTTCCAAATTTGCGGTATCCTTCATAAAAGCGCTCCAACTCTTCCTTGCTCCACTGAGGACCTAACATATCCGACAACTTCCTCTTCTGCATTTTAAAGAGCACTATAAGATATCCTTGCAAAGAAGCCAGCTGATACAATTTGCCGCAGAATAACAACAACAATTTGCTCGCACATTGGAGACAAGGGTAAAACTTAAGAGTAGAAAAGATTTGAGTAAATGCTGAAACCAAAATACAATCAAATGGTAATAAATTACTTGGATCAATCAAGAAACAGATTAACCTGCAAAGCCTAGGAGATAAGTAGGTACATGGCTTCATGCTAAAGATTAGTATCCCTATGCACCCTAGCTATGCAAAATTTCACAATTAAATCTGGGGCAGAGCAATTCAGTATCACAAATCATATAACCCTACCTAAAGTTGAGGTCATTTACTTGAATATCAGGAAAACAGCTTACCCGTTGTTTAGTTTTGCTCATACTTTCTTCTTCTTTGTTAGGAGAAACAGCTTTACCACGGGGAGTTTTCTTGTACTTAGATTTCTTTGATCTCGAAGGCGCCATTAGCTAAGCTCTTCTGTTACCTGAAATGCTCCCAAAATGGAAACCCAAGTTTAGTTTCACCAAGATGAAAAAACCCATCATGCAATATAAATCAGAAGCTCAATCCTTTATTGATACATCTATTTAGTAGTTGATCATCTCCAAAACCAAAAATGAATACTAAATTGTACATGCAAAACCCAACTGATACTAACAATACTAAATGAATGTTCATCATCAGTGTCAAGTGTCAACAGTGCTTCTGCTCAATAGAGTATGAAACCCAGATTAATTTTAAGAGATGGCTTCTCCGAATTGGAAATTAATCTAATTAAGCAACTACAGGTAGCTAATACTGAAATTTGGGCGACTTCGAATCACACGCCCTGACACCCATTGATTTGAGCTTTGAATTTGAATCGACAGCTCAAAAATCAGTGCCCAAATTCCCCAGAAAGAAAGAGAAGGGAATTTCAAATTTATATAACTCCGCACCTAATTCATAGATTTTTCTTCCCAATAGGAACGAGAAATTCAAAAATCGACAATTAGAGCTTAGAGCTCGATTATATGAAAATTTTCATGAGGAAAAACGGAATCAGATACCCAACTACCTCTATCGCAAAGAGAGAAATCAAAGAGAAGGGGCAAACGAAGATTGCAATAGCTTACCTTCAAATAATTCAAAATCACTTGGAAGGCATCGACGGGAGTTCGAGAGAGATACGAAGAGAAATTGAAGAAGCCGGTGAGAGATCGGAATGAACAGATCAGAGCTACGGATTCAGCGATCGATTAGAGGAAGGAGAGAATATGGAAGATGAAGAAGCAGCATAGAAGAGATGAAAGAAATTTTGGGGATATAACCGCGAAAACTTTAAAATAAAAATAAAAATAGAAATCTGATAAATGTAAATTCGTTACAGTTTGTTCGATTTGCGATTTTGAGCAGAGTCCATTCGCTTCATTAGTTCATTATACAAAAACTTATATAATTTGCGTTATTGACCTACATTTCCCGTTTAGAGATTTGGATTTGGCCATTTGGGACTAACCCGGTTTAGTCCGGGTGATCGAGTTTGGTTCTAACCGGTTTGAACCGGATTCAATTTCAGCCGGTTTTCATGCTGTGTTTTTCTTCTTAGCTAAACCGATTTTAACCATTGTTGTTTGGTCTTTTTGTTCCTTTCAATCCATCGTAACTGTTACACTTTCTTAAATTAAAATTTAAAATGCTATAACTGCAAACTAATTTTATAAACATGTTGGTTTTCACTAATTTTATAATCTTTTTGTATTTCTTCTATACCAATGAAAATTTTCATTTTTAACACTAATGACTAATCCAAAATTGACTCACACAACCAAAAAATAAACAAATTCACATTTAGCCCAATAAATGTGGCCTCAATTTCCCCTTCAAAACTTTAGACTGTTTCTTACAAAAGAGACTAGTTTCTTTCGAAATCCTAGTCGTTCTCAATTATTTTCATAAGTTATCTTGAAAATTATGGAAATGAACGTTGGAAAATAAAGCAGAGACTTCTGTCCAAAATGGGTTATAGTTAATCATAAAATCAACCTCCAGAAAGACATATATATAAATACAAAGTAGTTCTTCACATATGCTTCGATTAAAATGTACATAAAGTGAAGAAACTTTCCAAGATTGAAACTCTTAAAAGCACATGAGACGGACTCAACTAAGTACTAGAGCCACAAAGCACCAGCATCCTTGAGCAACCTTTTCAATGTCCCATCGAGATGAAGAGTCATGACGGTATTAGCCGTTCCTACGAACTTCCCTCCGACAAAAACCGCGGGAACCAGAGGGCTACAGCCTAACCGGGCCAAAGCCCACTCTATCTCTTTCCCGTACTTGTCTTGGTCGATCTCTACAATCGCCGGGCTCACACCTTGCTCGTAAAACAGCCGTTTGATTGCATGAGACATGCAACACGTACTCTTGCTGAACACCACCACTGCACTTTGCGACGCCAATCTCGCTACCACATCCATTTTGTATAGTAATACTCTTTTCTTTTACGAGATTTATGTCTTTTCTTTATATTGCTTGGAGATTTTGTGTTGATTTGTTTTGGAGAGGTGAGTCTTGGAACTATATATACACTTATTCTCACATGTAAACCTTTATGAAGATATAGCTAGCGGTATCTTGGATTATTGATGGAGAAGCGCTAAAGGGAGAATCTTATTTTTGGATTGCATGTGGATAAGAGAAGCAGATGATATGATGCTCGAGAGTTGACAAAATTTGAGTAAGATAGTGTAGAGATAGAGATGCATATTGTAACTTGTGATGGTGCATGAAGAGAAAAATTCCAATAATACGTGTTAAGGGAATGTCAACTTTGCATTGATTCTCATCGATCGTTAACTTTAATACCGCAGGGCGATTCACGTCGGCACTCATGTTAAGAGATGGACTACAAAGCAGCATCCATAGGACCATACTATTAAAACTTCAAAGGGCTAATTAACTATAATCTCATAAAATGTGACCAAGTCATATATTATCCTTGAGATGAACTATAGAGCAGCATCAAACCATTGTTTAAGTGTCATTAGGACCGTCATGTCAACACCAAACTATATTTTCTTAGACTCTTGATCTTGTATCGCGGTATACTCCTCCAAGCCATGCATTTCTAATGAAACTGATCAACATCGTTTTTCACTCGAAAAGGATATGGTTTCTCTCTCTCACGCACGCACTTTACAAACTACCATCTTCTTCTCATTTCTCTTTCATTGAAAATAGTTAAGAAATGGCAGCATACGTCGTAATCTTTAGTTTTAGACCAGTATAATTTTATCTTGATTTTAGAGGTTTTACATTTTATGTTTAGTTTTTAGGGGGTTTACATTTAGAATTTTGTATTTAAATTTATAAAATTTCATTTTTTTAGACTTTCATAAATGTCCCATAGTTTCTGACATTTTGTTTTTATATAATTTTTAAAACCCTCACTCTCGCATCCATGTTTCTTACAGATTATTTTCTTTCTCTTACAGCTTCATTGGTAAACTTTAGTTTTACTTATTGCCATCAAAGCAAAGACACAAAAGCAATCACCATTTAAGCCTAATCAAAGAAAATGTGGTAAAATGAAATAAGTCAAGGAAATTAACAACTTCTTTGGAGTAGGTAATAAAGTAGATATTAATTTCTGTCCAAAATGGGTTATAGTTAATCATTAAAATAACCTCCACATAGACATATATAACTCTTAATACAAAGTAGTTCTTCACATAAAGTGAAGACACTTTCAAAGGTCAACAAAGTAAAGATCGTAATATTAAATCTCTCAAGAACACATCCACTAAGTACTAAAGCCACAAAGCACCAGCATCCTTAAGCAACTTTTTCAATGACCCATTGAGATGAAGAGTCATGACGGTATTAGCCGTTCCTACAAATTTCCCTCCGACAAAAACCGCCGGAACTGTAGGGCTGCAGCCTAACCGGGCCAAGGCCCACTCGATCTCTTTACCGTACATGTCTTGGTCGATCTCTACAATCGCCGGGCTCACACCTTGCTCGTAAAACAGCCGCTTAATCGCATGAGACATACAACACGTACTCTTGCTGAATATGACCACTGCTCTTTGTGACGCCAATCTTGCTACCACATCCATTTTTATAGTGTTATTACTCTTTTACTATGTGTATATATGTCTTTTCTTTTGAGTCTCTTGGAGATTTTTGTAGATGGTTTGTTTTGGGGAGGTGAGTCTTGAAACTCTATATATACACATACTCACATGTCATCTTTATGAACGTATAGAGGTTCCTTGGATTAAAGATGGGGCATAACGCTAAAAGGGAGAATAATTTTAATAGGAAGTTGGATTGTGGATAAGAGAAGCAGATGATTTGATGCTCGAGAGTTGACATGCATATATTTGAGGTATAGAGATTGGTGTGCATATATTGTAAGTTGTGATCATGATGATGCATGAAGAGAGAAAATTCTAGTATTTGGGGATCAATATTACGTGTAAGGGAATGTCAACTTTGCATCTATTCTCATCGATCACACTTTCTTGCCGCAAGGGGATTTACGACGGCATTCATGATTCATGATAAAATGATGAACTACAAACAGCGGCATCCAAAGTTGGTAACTGCATGTATATATAATTTTATTTTTATATGTATATATTATGCTTTGGAGCCAAACCCGCAGCACTAAACAAGAGCCAAATATTTCAAAGTAGATAAAGTTATGGAAGATATGAGTTTGCGTTCACACTCCATGCATGCTTTCGTTTTTGCTAAATTGTAAATATTTCATTATAAAATGAAAAGTTTGGTTTTACAAATTGGGTGAACAAAATGCAAAAACCTTATACATGGTCTCATGGCAAAAAAGTTTAAAAAACATGGAAGCATAAACATGGAAGCATGTTTCTGACGCAGTCGGAAAACCCTAGAATAGCAAGCACTAAACCTAGATTGAATTCAAGTTCACAAGCATGAACTTGAAGAGAAAACTCTGGAAATCCACCAGATTAGAGAAAAGCTCTCTGCTTTGATTAATTAGAATAATAAGATATGATATGCCTCATGGCTACAACTTAAAAGTGTTTATATAGAAAACAAAACCCTAGAAAATATCCAAAACCCAAAAGGAAAAACATAATTAGAGAAAAAGGAAATTTGTGAAAATCTCCTAAATATCTCCTACATCAGTCTCCTCCACCTCTAAAGAACTCGACCTCGAGTTCTCTTCTAGATTAAGAATCTCATATGAATGGTACTCATGAATGCCAACCACATTGAATGTCTTAGAAACTGGAGAGCCACTACATAAACATCATCATTGATTTTCCGCAACACCTTGAAAGGACCATATTTGCTAGGTTGAAGCTTATTATTCCTCAAGTTCTTTTCTGGATATATAATCACATCTTCTTTAAAAGGTTGACCATAGTTGCTAGGTTGTGCTTTGTTGTATGTAACAACTTGAAACTTCTTGTTATGGAGGAACACAATTAAATCATCATCCTCTTTGAAAACTTTGGTTCCCTTCTGCTTGCCAACATCAATCTTTTTCTTCCCTTGTTCATCTGCAATCAGTTTCTTAAAATCTTTGTAGATCACTAGCACTCCTTCTGGAACTTCTGTCTTCTCCACTTCTGGGATTTCATAGGATAATGAAATATCTGCCTTAGTGTGAAAAGCATTATTATCATGCAGATTCTGTTGATCAATCTCTTTCTCTACAAAGTCTTCTTCAAGAGAACTAGGGTTTTCAATAACAACAACACAATTGTTTTCATCTCTTGGAACCCTAATTGAATCTCCTTCTTTGTCTATTTTCTGACTTTTGCCGGCTATCTTCAATCTATCGATTAGCATGTTCATGTGATTGCTAAATTCGACACTATTGTCTTGAACATGTAGAACCCTAATTCGTTCTCCTCTCCTTTCTCTTTGTCCGGCTTTGATAACCTTGTTGGTTAAAGCTTCCGTCTGATTGGTTAAAACTTTCATCTGATTAGTCAAAGCAGTTAGGGCCGAGGTTAGAGCCACGGTAAAACCCTGAAAATCTGCTTTGGTCAATGGTTGATCTCCCATAGCTGTTCAAGCTCGAAAAAGAGACAGGAGAAAGCCTGCTCTGATACCACTTGACGCAGTCGGAAAACCCTAGGAATAGCAAGCACTAAACCTAGATTGAATTCAAGTTCACAAGCATGAACTTGAAGAGAAAACTCTGGAAATCCACCAGATTAGAGAAAAGCTCTCTGCTTTGATTAATTAGAATAATAAGATATGATATGCCTCATGGCTACAACTTAAAAGTGTTTATATAGAAAACAAAACCCTAGAAAATATCCAAAACCCAAAAGGAAAAACATAATTAGAGAAAAAGGAAATTTGTGAAAATCTCCAAAATATCTCCTACATCACTTTCAGTTGTCATTAACAACATTTCTTTAACGACATTGCATGTTGGTGTTACATATTCACAAAGATTTTATGCTCGCGAAGATTAATTAATTACTTTAACAAAATAGTTCATAGTGTTAACAATGATATGATGGGGCACAAAATTCCGTGTGACTCTTGAGATATCAATGGAGCCAGATCCAAAAATAAGGAACCGTACGGTGATGCAAGTGGCGACATGAACATTGTACTTGAGGCATAACCACGTCATCGGCAAAATACCTCAAGTAGCTAGCCACTATTGGTTTAGTATGCCACATTAATCATTCTCGGTAAATAATAATATTCGAATTCATCATCACTAGCGATTTTAATCTCCCTTTGATTCTAACCACAACCATATATGCATTGATGATTAATTGGGCAATATAAGTGATTTCTTGCTCCTAATTATAACCCAATGAGTACATGTATTTAGCTTTATGAGTTTTTTAGTTTGTGTAGAAAAAAAATCAGTTTTAAAATAGCATTAGTCTTAAAATATTTGTAAATAAACAAGCTTAACTATACATGTTATGTTGATTACATAGCTGGTACCCTACAAAACTATTAATTTTTACTCTTTGTACTACTCTACTCGTTTTTAGAATTTGAAGTACTACACATTCTCACTTTGATTCGAGCGTAACTTCTAATCTGAATCGGATACTAATTTGGATGTAAGATCTGTTGATGATCAGTATGCTCAAGAGAGTGTATATTTGTCTTTATCATCCAAACTTTGAATCGAAACTAAAGCTGATGTAATCACTAAATCATGATGTAACCGAAACCGTTGATGATTAGTATTATTCTAATATGATCATCATTCAAATAATCGCGTTATAAAACTAGTGGTCCAAGCTTTGGGACCTCCTCAGGCATATATTTCGTCATATTTATTCATGACACATGCAGATACTATATTGATTTTCCCTAGCATGCCCATTTCTTTTCTTTCTTGTATAATTTTATATATTCCTTCAAAAATAGGAAGGAGTTTTACTTCATATTGTTCACCAACTCGAAAGACTTAATAGGAAGTAATTTTTGAAGTAAAAACAAAAAGTAGGAAGGAGTTTTACTTCATATTGTTCACAATATAGTCTAATAGGTATTCTAAAGTCTTTTAATTACTTTGGTCAAAAAAAAATAAAAAGAGTCTTTTACTTACATTATAACACATAACAATATTGTTGTCCTGAATAACTCCAAATTGTGCTACATTATTGAACAAGGATATATTACACTTAAGACGCATATATGTGGAGCTAATTTATTTCATTTATCTCACTAGCTTGTATTAAAAGTATATAAAGGGATATATATATCCCTGGATTCTGTATGTTGGAATAGGATGAATGGAATATGATGACAGATTGAGATATAGTGTGGTGTGTGACCATTCATGAATGGGCCAGTTGGATAAAGCGATCGATTCTCTCAAAGATTAGCGTATATCGCCACTTGTTACAATCTCATTACCGTTTTGCCGTTCCCAAATCCAAACCAATTATATTACCAAAAAGAAAAAAACCAAATTCTTTTTTTTCTTTGTCGAAAGTTGCAGCCAAATTGTTAAGGTTTTATTCGACCTCTCTCTTTTCATGTGTATTCATGTTCGCTTATTACTTTCCTATGAATAGTGTTTACGTGTCAGTATTACACTCACATTTATAGTCTCAATAGGACTAGAATCCAAGTGTCTTTTAAAATAAAATAAAAGATTGGAGACTACACGTCAATAACTATCTCTCAACTCTCAATTTTCATGATTCTTGATAAATATAAAATTCCCTTGCAAAAGAAAATGTTCAACTAAGAAGTGTCGCTTGATGATAATGAGAAGCCTTAAGTACAAAAAAGGAGCACGGCCTTGGCTAAAATTCATCCAAATATAGAAAGAAATAAATTAATAAAGAAACTTATTATTCCATTTTTGTGATTCTTTTGCCTATTTTCTTTTCACACGTGGGGAGATGTATATATCTAAGTTTTTAATTCACTGATGTTTAAATTTTCAAATTACCATTTTTGAAAAAGAAAGTGCTCCAGTATGATTTATCTGAAATCATATATAGTGATGCATACTGATATATATACATGTAAGACCATCTTCAATGTATTACACTATTTTCTCCTTTATTATAGTGTTCCCTCATAATAGTGTGATGTTTTTCTTCAATATTCCTTTATTTTTTACACTAAAAATGAATATTCTATAGTATATTCTAATTCAAAATTTATTGTAAGAACCTTTTATTTATAAGTTTTACAAATTAGCCCCACTTAATATTTTAGAGCTTTCTAATTATTTATTTTGTAATGAATAAAGTAGAAATTTAATTCCTTTTCATAATATAAGTCATGTCATTTTTTAATATAATGTTTTATGATTAGTTCTAGTAAAATAAGAGAGAAAAAAATAATTTTTTATTATTTGTTTAGGTTCAAAATAAGAACAAGTTAAATTTGAGGGATCATTATGTAAATAAAAAAGTATAACATCAAAAATAAGGGAGAAAAAAAGTTACACTATATTTGGGGGAAATTATAGTGTTCCCTTATTTTGATGGGAAATATAAGGGTGGGTTGGAGATGAGTTTTACACTAAAATAGTGTTTAAAGGGAAATATAAGGATGGGTTAGAGATGCTCTAAGCAAATAGACTAATATAATGATGCATTTTGATATACTTTTTTTT